ACAGGATCCAATTAGATGGAAAAGGACCTGAGGAGGAAAAGACTTCAAACACATGTGTTTCAAAGATGGTATGGCTTCATACACATCAAGAGAAGGTACGTTGCTGGAGGTCTGTAGGCCAGTGGATGGTAGGCCATCCGGGAAGCATTCAGAAGACAGGGTCATTGCAGAGAAGCTAAATGAATCCCTCATATCAGGGCTGACTGAATAAAAACTTTGTAGATCTTCCATTTCAGGGCACTTCTCTGTGAGGAGCCGCATGAACTATAAGACGTATGGCCCAAATTAAAAAAATAGACATACTATCAAATTCCAAGAGTCACTAGGAGTGAGACAGCTGGATTAGTAATGTTGTTTTGTAATCCCACTCTTAAAGATATCTTTGCACCCAGGGACTAGAAGATAACAGACCTAATGTGAATTAAAAATACAAAAATAAGAAAGTTCTAGAGGAGGTCTGTGAACTGCAGGTCCACTGTCCTGACCACAAAGTCACAGAGTCATTTTGGTTGGAAACGGCCTTTCCAGATTACCTAGTCCAACCTCTCCCCTCAAGCAATGTCAGCTAGAGCAGGGTGCTCTCAGGGTTTGAGTATCTCCTAGCATGAAGACTCTAAAGCCTCACATTAGGAAGCATTCTGAAGGAAAATGAACAAAAATCAGGGATGTTTTGTCTTTGCATAGTTTTATAAAATCATGATTTGCCTGTGCCTTCAATGGTGCATGCAGTTCTACCACCTATATTTCAAAAAGCATCTAGGAAAGCTTTCAGAGAGGGGGAAGCAGTTCTGCAGTATGGAAAAGAGATGACAAGAAGCAGATGTGTCCAAGATATGTCTAATTCTGACTGTAATGGACCGCTGATAGGGTTTGGCTGCTTCTCATCTCTTTCAGGGATGATCAGTTGAAACTAATAAGCAGCCAGTTCAGGGTTTTAAAATCCAGATGGTTCTCCCCTCCTCTCCTCTCCTCTCCTCTCCTCTCCTCTCCTCTCACTGGCCCTCTTCTGCTGCCAGTCCTTTATCCTATCAAATGCACCTCTAAGTGTCATTGTCTCATTGTTCCTGTTGCTCTTTTTTATAACTGTTTTTCTCTCCAGATGGAGAAGCTTATGCTTCAAATGACTAATACTTGGGTTTATTTTCTTCTCACCTGAAATATGTAACTGTGTGTAAACATCACAGATATCCTACTGCTTCATGTGTTGCCTAGAATCATCTTCCCCTTTTTTAAATCTCTGTTCTTGTATATAAAAAGTGTCTTACATGTAATATTGTAGATATCACTTTAAACAAGGGTCATTTTGCTTTTACTTTTAAAACTGTTTGCCTGGGGTACATATTTACTAAAAACTGAAACTAGAAAAACTGGCAGATGACTAAGTGCTTTGGCTGGGAACATGAATAACTGAGTACAGCAGAAGGAACAAGCAAAGGTTTCAGCTGCGGTTGTACCACAAGAAAGAGTGAAATAAAATGTTAAAAGACCCTGTTGGTCTTCAAGGCACCAGCTGCACTTTGGTTTGTGCCTTTTTTTACCCTTCTTCTGAATTAAGCTTATCTGTATCTTTGAATCTTCACTGAATTGTTATGAGAACTCACACCCTGGCAAAAAGGAAAGGGCTTGGAATTGTATCATCCCCAGTACAAAAATGTCCTCAAGATTCATTTGCATATTTCACAGCAACCTATTTATACTACAGATTTCTTCTTACTCTTTGAGCTGCTGTACCACTCCAACAAATTCTCTGGGGAGGGGATTAGTGCCTGAGACCCTGCCAGGGGAAACCCAGGGCAAAGAAACTTCCCTGATACACGGCAATCTTCCAAAAGCTGTGGGAGGGAGGCTGAAGAAGACAAAGAAAGCTCAGTGCAGAGTGATTGACCTACCTTGGACATCAGTGACCTTCTGTAGTCTGGGCCTGGTTGATTCGGTCAAGTTCAAGTCAGCGTAAATTATATTTTCTGACATTTTTGCTCCCCTGCTTTTTTCCTCTTGCTGCAGTTTTTAAAATGGTACTCTGGACTGATAACAACTCATAGCTCCCACCCCCTCTGACCTTCAGGAGGAAGTTCTTTGCTGTTTTTGTCGTACGGAAACACGTAATGAGAAGGGGAACCTACTTCTAATTGATCTTTTGGCAGTAATATGTTAAATGGAAAGCAGTGTCATTGTTGCAGTCGCCTTTGTCAGGAAGTGGTTTTGGCATTAGTAGTATCTTGAGTTTCCAAATCTTGACACCCTGCCCCACCCCCCATTCATGATTGGAAAAGATGAGTACTATGACATGAAATGGGAAGGAGAAGAGAACTACCTGGATTCAGCAGTCAGCCCCAGGAAGCAGAGTGCAGGTCTCAGGGTGGACCCGTGGCAGATCACGGGAGCAGCCCTGTGGAGTCCAGGGACAGTGTTCTCAAGAGCAGGCATCTGAAAACATGAGACATTTGCCCTGACCCATAGGGAAAGGTACTCCATTCTGCTGGAAGAGGACACTGCCTGAGGAATGGGGGTTTTGCACAGCTCAGAAACACGCTCTTCCCTTGTGTCGGTAACTTCTAATGGCAAATGGGGATTCGTAAAGTGGGATTGGTCCAGTCCGTTTTCAGAAGGGTAAAGGCTGCTTAAAGGCTGCATGTGTTCAGCCATGTCCATGAAAGCAGGGCTCCATCATGCCTAATGGTTTCCTGGGAAGACAAGATGTCATTACTCCGGATGTACCAGCTTCCTTCTTCCCCCAGCTTTATATGGCTAGTCATGACATCATATGGTATGCAATACCCCTTTTGTCACTTGGGGTCAGCTGTCCCAGCTGTGTCCTCTCCCAGCTTCTCATACACCCCCTGCCTGGTCGCTGGTGGGGTGGTGGGAGAAGCAGAAAACGAGCTGCTGTACCACTCCAACAAATTCTCTGGGGAGGGGATTAGTGCCTGAGACCCTGCCAGGGGAAACCCAGGGCAAAGAAACTTCCCTGATACACGGCAATCTTCCAAAAGCTGTGGGAGGGAGGCTGAAGAAGACAAAGAAAGCTCAGTGCAGACTGGTTGACCTACCTTGGACATCAGTGACCTTCTGTAGTCTGGGTCTGGGTGATTCGGTCATGCTGAAGCCAACGTAAGTGAGATTCTCTGAAAATCTTGCTCCCCTGCTTTTTTCCTCTTGCTGCTGTTTTTAAAATGGTACTCTGGACTGATAACAACTCATAGCTCCCGCCCCCTCTGACCTTCAGGAGGAAGTTCTTTGCTGTTTTTGTCGTACGGAAACACGTAATGAGAAGGGGAACCTACTTCTAATTGATCTTTTGGCAGTAATATGTTAAATGGAAGGCGGTGTCATCGTTGCGGTCGCCTTTGTCGGGAAGTGGTTTTGGCATTAGTAGTATCTTGAGTTTCCAAATCTTGACACCCTGCCCCACCCCCCATTCATGATTGGAAAAGATGAGTTCTATCACATGAAATGGGAAGGAGAAGAGAACTACCTGGATTCAGCAGTCAGCCCCAGGAAGCAGAGTGCAGGTCTCAGGGTGGACCCGTGGCAGATCATGGGAGCAGCCCTGTGGAGTCCAGGGACAGTGTTCTCAAGAGCAGGCATCTGAAAACATGAGACATTTGCCCTGACCCATAGGGAAAGGTACTCCATTCTGCTGGAAGAGGACACTGCCTGAGGAATGGGGGTTTTGCACAGCTCAGAAACACGCTCTTCCCTTGTGTCGGTAACTTCTAATGGCAAATGGGGATTCGTAAAGTGGGATTGGTCCAGTCCGTTTTCAGAAGGGTAAAGGCTGCTTAAAGGCTGCATGTGTTCAGCCATGTCCATGAAAGCAGGGCTCCATCATGCCTAATGGTTTCCTGGGAAGACAAGATGTCATTACTCCGGATGTACCAGCTTCCTTCTTCCCCCAGCTTTATATGGCTAGTCATGACATCATATGGTATGCAATACCCCTTTTGTCACTTGGGGTCAGCTGTCCCAGCTGTGTCCTCTCCCAGCTTCTCATACACCCCCTGCCTGGTCGCTGGTGGGGTGGTGGGAGAAGCAGAAAATACCTTGATACTGTGTACGTACTGAGCAGCAGTAACTAAACATCCCTGTGTTATCAACACCGTTTTGAGCACAAATCCAAAACACAGCAGCACACTAGCTACTATGAAGAAAATGACTTTATCCCAGCCAACCAGCACAGGGCCCTACCATGTAAGAAGGATGTGAAGGTTCTTGAGTGCGTCCATAGCGGGCAACAAATCTGGTGGAAGGGCTGGAAGGCATGTCCTGTGAGGAGCAGCCAAGGACTCTGGGTTTGTCTAGTGGGAAGAGAAGGAGGCTGCGGGGCAACCTCGTTGCTCCCCACATCTTCCTGAGGAGGGGAAATGGAGAGGGAGGGCCTGATCTCTTCTCCCTGGGATCCAGGGACAGGATGTGTGGGAATGGTTCAAACCTGTGCCAAGTGAGGTTTAGATTGGACATTGGAAAGTATTTCTTTTCCAAGAGGGTGGTCAAACACTAGAACACGCTTCCTAGCAAGGTGGTTGATGCCCCGTGCCTGACAGTGTTTAAGACGCATTTGGACAATGACCTTAACAACATACTTTAACATTTGGTCAGCCCTGAAGTGCTCAGGCAGTTGGACTACATGATCATTGTAGGTCCCTTCCAACTGGAACTATTCTCTTCCCAATGAGGAAGGAATCCATTCTGCATGGTTATTATTTTGTGATGCTCACTTTTAAAGCCTGAGGTGTTTTTTTTTTAATCTGGTGTACTAATTATTGTCAAAATAAGCAGAGACTCTTCCCTGTGGAGTACGGGGAGAGAATTTGTTGAAAAGCACTGGTATGAGATCTGAAACTTGGAAGAGACAGTATGATGACAAAGAACATAACTACCATCAGACTTGTACTTCTAATTCTCATGTGTGAATTGGGAAAAAAATGAAAAAAAAAGAGACCAGCAAATGGTTCAACTTTTGTAAAATTGGAATGAATAGATCTCTTATATGACAGAGAATAAGGTCTATTTTTCAGTAAACACCAGGTCGTTGCCTCATTATTGCCTGGATATCAGCAGGTAAATCCCCTGCCATGCAGTCACTGATAGATACAGCAGGACTAGTTTTAGAATCAGTCACATTATTTAATGACTATGGTGCCTACTGGCCTAAGTACAAGGAGTATGTAGATCGCTTGTGACTAGATAATGATTATTGAAATACCAGTGAGCTAATACATACAATAACCCACCTATGACAGCTCTGGATTTAATAATTAAACAGGAGCTACTGAAGAGGTGACTGCATTCCTGTATTTACTGCATCATAATAGATTGCTTTTCTGATTTAGAACAAACTATACTAGAAAGTATTTTTTATGAAAATAAAAAAAAATGCCAATGCCCATTGAACCTATTTATTCCAAAGGCAGACAGTTTTCTATTATGTAAGTGTCCTCTCATGTTCAAGGCCATCAGATCTGGAATACCCTGCTAACAGGTGCTACAGAGTGCTTCAGCTGGCCAGTGAGCTCTTCTGGTATTCTATCCCTCACTTCCCATACTCAGAGGCCAAGATAAGCCAAGCAAACACCAGCTGTGTGAGGTAAAGAAGAGGAAGCAAAGCAGTTTCTTTGGTAGTTGATGACCTAGAAGTGCCTGCTGCAGTCAAACGAAGATTTGCAGTGGCCCTTGGACCTGACACTGAGAGGTGTCCAGAAATATTGTGACAGGCAGCCCGCTCTGGAATACTGATATCTCTGATTAGACCAGTCTCATTTCTCTGGAGTTCCTGGGAGTGGAAGGAAAGAGGGAAAAATAAAATTACATGATGTGCTTTTAAGTTGGGAGTCACAAGACTCTGGCATAACACTGCAAGTTTTGCATGCATTTTGGTCAGTTTTCTTGCTGTCTGGGTGTGTAATGAGCTATCTCGGAGACAGTCACGACATGGGTCTCCCCTCTGGTGGCAGAGAAGCTCTCTGAGAGAGGAGAAGATGGAATTTGGGTCCTTTCTCAGTGATTTTTCCCTAATTTACCTCTAAGATGAGTAGGTACCAGATTGATGCACTGAAATGCAGTCAGTAAGGAAGCTATGTTCCATGTATGTGGATTTTCTGGATCAGATAATCCCTTTCAGTTGCTATAGCCATGGATAAGGTGTGACCAGCTGGTGTTACCCAAAGTTTTGTGTGTTGGCTCTATCTCTCAGCTGTGCTTTACTGTCATCACGTCAGAGCTGACTCCATTTCCCCAGCCACAAATTTCTCAGAAGGTGGACTTACATTAATGGTTTTAATCATGACTACTTGCTCTGTCTCCTTGGCTGCTGTCTCTGCAATTTTGACAGTCTCATTGTCCCAGTCAACAAAGTCGATGGCCATCACAGCTTCCACTGCACTGGGGAGAGAGTACAGGGCAATGGGGAGGTGGAGAAGACAAATGATGAGACAGTGAGGAAGAAGGAAAAAAGAAAGGATAGGGGAAAAACAATAAAGGAGAAGAGATTGTTCACAGTAGGAGAGTTAATAGATATCTGCAGCAAGGGAACTCTCAGCTTGACAGATCCAGATACACGGCTCTTTCTTCCCTATCAGCAACATTTCATTTTCATTGTCTTTTCCATTTACCATTCTTCACGGCTACATTTTGCTCTTCTGCCTCCAGAAACCACACGGCTCTTTCTTCCCATTGTCTTTTCCATTTACCATTCTTCATGGCTACATTTTGCTCTTCTGCCTCCAGAAACATGTTGACTCAGGACTTACTCTGAGGCCTCCTGTTTGAGTACATGGGCAATATACAGAATGTCAGGGTAGCCCATACAACTGGAGATGTTGTTACGGGGGTAGTAGAAGAGGAACGCGAGGCACATCTCATTCATGGTGCTTGGCCCACCCTGCAAAGACACAAAGATGACTCAAAGGTCTGCTGAGACACAAGGAAGAGACAATGGGCACAAACTTGAATGTAAGAAGTAGGAGACAATGGGCACAAACTTGAATGTAGGAAGTTCCGTCTAATCATGAGGAGGAACTTCTTTCCTGTGAGGGTGGCAGAGCCCTGGAAGAGGCTGCCCAGGGAGGTGGTGGAGTCTCCTTCTCTGGAGACCTTGCAAGCCTGCCTGGACACATTCCTGTGCAACCTGCTCTGGGTGGACCAGCTTTGGCAGGGGGTTGGACTAGATGATTTCCAGAGGTCCCTTTCAACCCAATGTGATTCTGCGATTCTGTGATCCAGGTTACACGTCTCTTGATCTTGCAAAGTACACCCAGGGTGCTCACAGCAAGGTGCAAAACGACACTCAGCCCACAAATCCTTGTGGTGCCCATGGCCAGGCTGTCCCAGTAGCTGCCTCATACCCTCATTGTTTGTTGCAGGCTTGCTTTGTGACTCCTGGCAGCTCTGAGCTGGTGAACTGCTATGGTCATACGATTGTCCAGCTACACCTTACAGCAGAATGGGTTCAAGAGGGAGGAATCTGGCTTGGAGGCCAATTTAACAAAAGTTCAAGTCAAGAAAGAAGATGTTCTGTCATGTGACACACGGTGTATGTATACCATGCGACTTGCATAGAGAGCAGGAGCTGAAAAGCTATTGCTATTGTCTGGAATGAAATAGCTCTGGCTAATTCACTCATACCGGCTATCTGTGACTTTTGGCCTGTGCTGGGGTATTCTGGATCTAACACCTGAAAAGGAGACAGCTCCTAAATTCCTGCCAAAGATCCCAATCTGCTATATTCTGCCAAGGTCAACCTCCAAAGAGTCTGGGATCTCCACTAACTGGACGAGCAACTAAGAACATCATAGTTATCCTACATGTTGCAGAGAAAATCCCAGGAAAAAAAAATAGCCACTGTGCCTGAATCATCTCTGTTCAGAAGGTGTTTCAAATGCTTGACCTTCTGCTCTGGAGCCTGTCTTTGAGATGGTGTCAGGACATGGTCCTAACATGGTAAAGTCTGTACAGGTCCTTTATCAGATGATGTACGCTCATCCTAAGTAAATTGAATTGCTGCTTTAGTCCTCTCTAGACTGACCTCAAGTGATTCCTAGCAAAGAAACAGAACCTCCCATTTTCTTCTGAAGTTTAAGGAAAACTCTTCTGACTTCACGCCCTGCTAATTGGAGCATTCATGTGGAAGATGCTAGATGGAGGGAGGTTCACTCCTCTTGCTGTCTAGTATAGCAATACAAGTCAGGTCAATTTAGGCTGGAGATTACTATCATTGAAACTGAATGATGGTTTCAAAGCCAATAGGTTTTACTGATGTCTACTTTGCTCCCTTTCCAAGAGACAACCATGTTTGCCAGCTATAATGTGCTACTCCTGAGAGACACAGACAGCCATAATCAGGGAGCAGACATATTCACAATGCACCTTTCAACTTACAAAATCCCCAGTTATTTAGGCTAGTTATAGCAGACCAAGTTTGTTTACTAAGGCTCTTTAAAAGTTTTCCCTGCTTTTGCCATGTCACAGTTAGGCTGCAGAGGCTGTTAGGTGAGTATTTTCCAGATAACACTAGCCAGAGAGGGGAAAATACCCATCAGACAATTGTGTTACACCTAGTTTTCTGAGGTTGCCTTTGAAGGAGCTTCTAGTCTTTTGGTGCCATTCCTTGGCATACTGGGGCATGGGTAGAGAGGTGCAGGGCCAGGGTGTTTAAGCCATGTTTGATTGTAGGGTGTCATTGGTGTTTAAGGATAACTGAGGAAGGCCATCTTCAAGAGCAGATGTGCTATTTTAGAATAATCTAGATTCTTCTCAGTGATGCTTTATATGAGTGCTTAGAAGCCAAACTAGACAACATCTGCCCCGTTCATAAGTCAGCTTTGCATTGGTGGTGGTGAGCAGGCACTCTCCTGTCTGCCACAGCTTGCCTACAGTGCAGTTCAGATTCCCGGCATACCTATGTGATCAACTCAGTATGTGTGGAGCTTCTGCAGGGTGAATCAGCATGTGAGGCAGTGCAGGGGTCTGGGGATTCCCGTTCATAAGTCAGCTTTGCATTGGTGGTGGTGAGCAGGCACTCTCCTGTCTGCCACAGCTTGCCTACAGTGCAGTTCAGATTTCCTGCATAACTGTATGATCAACCCAGTATGTGTGGAGCTTCTGCAGGGTGAATCAGCATGTGAGGCAGTGCAGGGGTCTGGGGATTCGGTGTGAGAGGCAGCTAAGGACCAGGCAATGCCAAATTTTTCCCTTGCCATTCAAGATGGAGCCCACATCGCATCTCAGAGTGTGCACTGGCAAAGCCGTGTAGACAGGCAAGGAACTTGATCTTGAAGGTGTCACAGTGAGGACTCTAAGATTAGACTGTCACTGTGACATCTTGGGCTACAACCATATGCTAAGTATCATAGGAGCACAGATTGTTCTTTGGCTCACTGGCACAGACTGTCTCACCAAAAGCTAAGGACCAGACAATGCCAAATTTTTCCCTTGCCATTCTAGATGGAGCCCACATCGCATCTCAGAGTGTGCACTGGCAAAGCCGTGTAGACAGGCAAGGAACTTGATCTTGAAGGTGTCACAGTGAGGACTCTAAGATTAGACTGTCACTGTGACATCTTGGGCTACAACCATATGCTAAGTATCATAGGAGCACAGATTGTTCTTTGGCTCACTGGCACAGACTAAGTGTCTGCCTCCCCGTAGCTCTCTGCAGTGAGATACTTGGCTTATGTTGGGTTATTCTGAAGTTAGAAACCAAGGAGAAGATAGGCCTTATACCTATACCACCAAGCACAACAACCTCTGTGATGCTTCTTTGGCCTAAAGTACAATCATTTTTTAGTTGTGGGTTTTGTTCTGTTTTCAAATTCTAAGCATCTGAAGTAGAGTTCAAGTGCTGCAGACCACGATTGGCCGTTTTCATAGCCTGAAACTGAGGACTCATGCTTTGTGGGCTGGGGTGTGGTGAGAGAGCGTATAGCGGGGCTGAAGTTTTTAGTGTGGGAGGATGTTGAAGGAAACCAAAGCCAGCGGAGTTTTGCCCACGCAGCCCATGAGAACTGGTACGCTCAATTCCCTCAGGGTAAGCCTAGTGAAGAGGACCAAGCTATGCAAGGGCACTGCCTAGCAGCTGACTCGTGTGGACGAGCAGTAGCCCAGTGCTTGACCTCACTGCCTGGACCTGTTTGATTTAACGGGAAGCACAGTCCCCATCTCATACTCTCTGCTCAGTTGACCTTTCTTTCCTTGGGAGCTAGTTCTTTGTACTACAGGTCAGACACTGCAGTGTCTCCTGCACTGGCAGACAGATGAAGACTGACCTGGGAACATCATTATCATCCACTCTAACCCAAGAGCCAGGGAGTGATGCTGTGGCACAGGCAGCAATACTGTGAGTTTGCATCTCTTACCCGTATTGAGCAGCTTTCACTCCTCTGCCAGACAGGTGGGTGTGAAGCAAGCAGGCGAAAACATGCAGATCTGGAACCAGCATCCCATTCATCTGCAGTTCAAAACGAAGTAGGTCAGAGCCTGGCAGTCATAGCACTACATTTCAGGGCTGCCCATCAAGTCAAAAGCTTGATGGAACTTCCATAATTGTCAGCTTAACTTTTTTTTTCAAGGGAGGTTTAAGTCTATTTCCTCATGTAGGTCAGTACTGATTGAAAGGTTGCTCTGGTGAGCCTTTCTGAAAATTGCTCTTCTGGCGTTAGATACTGTGACATAGTTGTCTGAGTTTATGATATCTCATACTAGGAACTGGATCCTTATCTTCCTATCAGCTATGTAAAAATCTGAGACAAGATACAGGAGAGGCAATAAGTTAAACATGCAGATACATGGACGTAGCTCTGGAGTATAGTAGAGTGGTACCCCTGAGCTGTCGATCAAACCTGTAAAAGAAAAATGACCACTCCTTCAGCAATGGCTCCAGAAACAGCAGAAGTGGGGCCTGAAGAAGCAACAAGTCTCTTTTCCAGTCACAGGCTGGGACCAGGCACAGATTAACAGGAAGGTCTAAGCCTTCCACTGTACCCCTGTGCTATGGTCCACTGTCATTTACATCAAAGTCATGCAAGGTGCACAGTTGCACAGATCTTCACTCATAGTGCATCTGGACCCAGCTCCGCTTACAGCTTCAGATGATTTTCCTAAAATCACTCCACATTTGCTTCCCCATCTGTAAAATGATAACAAGTACCATGGTGGCATTCTTCATCACCATTACATAGGAATTGAATGCTGGAGGTCATGGTAGAAGCTTGAGGTGGTATTATTAGACTCTCAGGACTTTACCCTGACCCTTGGTACAGCTATTTCTCTGACAGTCACTCTGTCCCTTCCTTTTTCCCCATGATGCCCCCATTTCCCTGACATTTTCCCTAACAGTCCCACTAGTATCATAGCAGGAAGATGTGCTCAGCTTTTTTAATGGTAAGACGTGTCTACTCTAAGTAGATATAACTATCTATGTTTCTAAAGTTAGTTAAAGTTCTTCCTGAATGGGACCCCAGTCCTGAAGGCTGTACAGAGCAGCATATAGAAGTGTTTCATGCAGAGGCTGATTTCTAAAAAGCATGTAGGTGAGGTCTGAGGCTTCCATCCTGAGATTGTTGTTGTCAGACAACTGCCCAGCATTACCCACCTGGTAACAAGTCAAAATTGCTGTAATGGATTTCTAGTCGGATGTACTGAGGATCCCAAGGTGTCCCTATGGAAATTGCAGCTTCATCTGGAAATTGATACGACTTTTGGAAAGAGGAAGAAGAGGAATGAAGTTATATGAAATTGTTAGTTTTTAACTCTTCTCTGTTGTGTCTTGTTTGGAAACCTACAAAAAGAAAGTTTTTTATTTTCTTCCATCTCTGAATATTTATTTAGCCATTGATAGAAATCATAGAATCATTCAGGTTGGAAAAGACACTTGGGATCATCGAGTCCAACCATCAACCCTACGCTACAAAGTTCTCCCCTACACCATATCCCCCAACACCACATCTAAACCACTCTTGAACACATTCGGGGATGGCAACTCAACCACCTCCCTGGGCAGCCTATTCCAGTGCCTGACCACTCTTTCTGTGAAAAAACCTTTCCTAATGTTCAGTCTAAACCTACCCTGTTGGAGCTTGAAGCCATTCCTTCTCGTTCTGTCACTAATTACCTGCAAGAAGAGACCAGCACCAACCTCTCTACAGTGTCCTTTCAAGTAGTTGTAGAGAGTGATGAGGTCTCCCCTCAGCCTCCTCTTCCTCAAACTAAACAGCCCCAGCTCCTTCAACCGCTCTTCATAAGATTGATGCTCCAGGCATCAAAAATGCTGTGGGAAATCCTGCCAGTTCCATTTCTTCTCCTTCTTCCCCTAAAGCACCTCCCCTTAATCAGAATCATGGGGGTGTCTATTTGACCTGTTATGCTGGGCAGTGTGGTTCCAGACTAGAGATGTAAATACCTTGCCTCATACACCATTTTCTTGGCTGCAAAGCAAAACAAGGGACCGTGATCTCAGGTTCACCATAATTCACTGCTCCCTCAGTTGTGCCAAGAGTGTATAATCAAGATAATTTAAATAAATCCTGCAAATAACCTGGCTCATTAAGCACTGCACTTTTTACCAGCATGATTTTGAGATCGAGCCTCAAAATCCTGATGTCACCGACCTGGTTCGTTAAGCACTGCACTTTTTACCAGCACTGATGAGATCGAGCCTCAAAATCCTGATGTCACCCCAAGAGCTGACTAAAGTTCCCAAGTTTGTTCTGTAGGTTTACCTGTTCCATTCTTCTTTTTTCCAGCCTGTGGAAATTCTTCCTTATGAAGTTTTGCCTTATGTCATTGCAGTGGAACATCTCTTTTTAAACCCTCAAAACTAAGTGTTTTTGAATTAAAGTTATCTTGAGAAATAATCTAGGCTTGCTTAGGAAAGTTCCTGTTTCTTTTTTTGCTCTTCCTTTTTGCGTATTGAATCTTGTGAACTCGACTGCAAAAACGTTAGTTTTGCTTTTTATACGAATATTCTTAACAATTTCCAAAAGCAAAAGCAAAAGTCCTTTCAAATATATAGAAAATTCTGGAGGATTCCTTTGCTCTCAAAGATACCAACCGTGGCCTGAGCTCACTAGACTGAGACATCAGACTTGTAGCAAGGTTTCTTCAGGAGTGATGTATATGAAGACAAAGGTACTTCCAAAGCTAGAAACAAGACAGAGCTTATTTCCACACAAGCCAGACAAATTAGCTGGCTCATCCCAACAGCAGTGAAGGACAGATGGAACGCTCCCAAATTTATACTAAAATGCTGTAGAAGACAGCCTTGTATGCATGATAGAAGAAGTAAGTCTGATCTGTCCTGTTCTTTCCCTGGTGATACAGCCTGCAAGTTTACCTTGTCGATATGGTGTTTCTGCTTGACCATGGGCAGAGGGATAAAGGTGCAGGCATACTTGGTTTCTTCAACTGGAACAGCAAACAGTAAAAGAAAACAGACACTCGAGTCACCTGAAGGTCCCCCTGGCAACTCAGTCCCGTGCACAGGGAATCGGAGAAGGCACAGGGAGGCCATGCAAGGAGAATGAGACCCAGAAGGGAAGGGGGCTGGAGGGATGACGCATTTAGCCAGCATCTGATTGTTTTTTGGGTGCAATGAGTGAGGTCAAGAAGATGAAACTGTATTCTGTTGAAGTGAAAGCACATTTGTCAGCTCTACCAGGTCTTAAATTATTTTTCTTTCAGATTTTTTTTCTGTATTTTTCCAAAAGGGAATTGTATTACTAATTTACCTATTCTAACATGAACAGAGTATAGGAGATGTCCATTCGGTTCAATCAACATTTTTAATTACCAGCTTTCTGGAGTCACAAGCACAACACATGATAGCACTAATCCCACAATTCTTTACATAAAAATAGTGTCCCTCTTCACCGTGGAATATTGCCCACGCTGATCAACAGATGCTGTTGCATCTTGAGTGAGTGTTGACTGTGGGGGCTGTTCCTGTTTAAAGAAGGAAGGTGTTAATGCAATACCATAATGAGCTGGTACTTTTGGACTCCATTTGACAAGGATGGCTCATGCACCACGAGGTGATGCTAATGGGGGGCTCCAGTTCTCCTGGTAAATCCTTACATCTGACACTGAGCTGCAGTGTAAGTTAATACTGGAGGCAGCACACACAATAGTGCACTTTGAGTTTTCTGAGCTCTTAGCCAGACTTGTCACTGAGCATTTAAGTGTATTCCCATTATTTGTCTTCTCTGTGACATTATGTAGTTCCCACAAAACAAAGATGGGAATCAGTAATATCTTCAGTGTATTGTAAATATTTTTCTACATGGATCGGACAGTAGACCTGCATACATACATGCCTGACTTAATAATTGTACTGCAATCCAGTAGCCATGATTTCTGTTTGGCTCCTTAAGCTCTAGTCAAGAGAACAGACTACGCTTTACAGCATTTTCCTAACTCATAAGCCCTTTACCCTCCACACAGCAACCCTTCCCTTCTCGCTTAATTTCTGCCCTACAGTAGACCTGCATACATACATGTCTGACTTAATAATTGTATTGCAATCCAGTAGCCACGATTTCTGTTTGGCTCCTTAAGCTCTAGTCAAGAGAACAGACTACGCTTTACAGCATTTTCCTAACTCATAAGCCCTTTACCCTCCACACAGCAACCCTTCCCTTCTCGCTTAATTTCTGCCCTTGTCAGGCCCATTTCTTGATCTGTGCCAACCAAACCTCCAGCATGGGCATGATCAATTTTGTAAAGAAAGACAAAGGAAGGGAAAAATTTCTAACGTGCCAAGTAAAGCTCTTGTCCAGTACTTACATTGTCTAGCCTCAAGTCATAGGTGAAGAAAGTTTTAGGACCAGTTGAGTCAGATGGGGCTCTATACCTCATCAAGAACAGAGACTTGGAAAATCTTTGTCCTTTAAAGAACTGGACTGTGTCATCAGGACCAAAGGCAGTAACGAGGCATGCTGTGTCCACCTGTAATGGCAGTGTTTCATTGGAAACTCTCCTTCATTCCTTCCCATCAACCACACACACAGGTGTTCACTCCATAATCACATGCCTTATACCTCTACACACGTATTAAAGTGCAATCCACATGCTAACCACGTGCAATTAAAAGTAATCTAAAATAATATAACTGTTTGTATTTGGTATGTACCCAGACACTCAGACAATACGTCAGAACACACAACACAAAGTAAGCAGTTTAACACACAGGATTTGTCTTGTGAAGGCATAAACATGATGGGTTTCTTCCTTAAGAGATGGTGCTGGCTAGAAAAGACACTAGGAAAACTGCATCCATTGTCATTTCACTCGCATTATTGGAACATGCATGGATTTAAAGTGCTGGTATAAATGAAATGAAAGAAAGCTGGAAAGAAAAAGCTGTAAGGGATTTGATAAACTGGAAGGGATTTGATACCTGCACCATTTTGTGCTTAAATGTTTAGATACTGAGTGTCTGGATTCTGTTCTAGCTGTGGGAGCTGTACAATAGCGTTAAATACCAGCTTTTCAGATATTTGCATATCCTAGAGCAAGCAGAGGCAGTTCATTTATCTGTATATACTATTTATGCACTTTGGGCAATTTTTAAAAAGAATTACTAAGAGACTTACACAAAAAGCTAAGAGAACTGTAGTCTCTGATTCCCCATTAACAGCTACGGTTGAGCATGAACGTACTCAATGAACCGCCTGGATCTGCCCCATCATGTAAGGACAGCAGTAGCCAGGAAACACTGTGGGCTCTTCCCATTCAGAATGGGATTATATTTCTTTCAATTAGTAAAGGTCATCAAGAAGGTTTGTAAATACAAAGGCATCTATCCAGTCATTTGCACGTGAATTTGAACTCTGGAAAAATGGTGAATGTACACCTAATTCTGGACAAACATTTTTGAGTGGGCTAAGCCTTGGATAATGGTGATTTACCCAGAGGTCCCTCAAGTAAAGGTTAAATGGTGTAAACAGTGTCTATATGTGCAGAATTCTGAAACTGGGTGCATTAGCATGCTTGTGTACCTTGGCAAAGCATATTTTTGAAAAAAACTCTGACTTAAAATACCAGTTTGGGTTGGCCAAGTTTTTAATGTCAGTCAATACCAGTATGAAGCTCTTTCAAGAGAGAAAGACTGGGATTATCAAAGCATTCTGAATTTTCCAAACATCATTCTTCTCAAAATACTGCCTTACATTAGACAAATAAAACCTGTATCTCCCATACGATATTGTTTTTTTATGTGGCAAACAAGACAGAGATAGAAAAATGAGAAAAATTTTGAAGACCTGTGTTCAGATTTAAGAAAATGCTGAGATTTCTATCTTCCCTATTCTTTGACGGAAAACATTGTAAAAACATCAAATATATCAATATAGTGCCTTTGAAATAGGCATTATAAATATGGCTGTATGCCCCCGTGTTTTTCTCTATATTCCTTCTAGTTGCAATAAATAGTTATTGTACTATTGTGAGAAAAAGTTGTCATTCTCATATCTGATCCTGGGGATCTGAGAATACGAGAACAGGTTTGTTTGAGACTTTGCTTGAGCAGTCCCCTTTCTTACTGTGATATCCAGGTCATTTGGGTCACGTGTCTGGAGGTGTCGTTTAACAGCATGGTGGTGGGGGTCTCATTCGGGCATTATAAATGTGGATGTATGCCCCCATGTTTTTCTGTATATTCCTTCTAGCGCAAATAAATAGTTATTGTACTATTGTGAGAAAAAGTTGTCATTCTCATATCTGATCCTGGGGATCTGAGAATACGAGAACAGGTTTGTTTGGGACTTTGCTTGAGCAGTCCCCTTTCTTACTGTGATATCCAGGTCATTTGGGTCACGTGTCTGGAGGTGTCGTTTGAACAGCACGGTGGTGGAGGTCTCATTCTCTGTCACTGACAGCAGTTGGTAGTCCTGGCTGTCGTCTTCCTCAAGGGTTTCCTCATCTACCACATGATAATCCTGGAAAAGGAACAGCGGTGAAAGCCATATAGAGAAGAGAAGAACTTCCTACACCTCAAGAAGTCGTATTTCCAAGTACTGCTGGTGGGATCTGAGTAATTATCAAAGCATTCCACTCTCCAAAAAGCTCTTCTGACTTCCTACACCTCAAGAAGTTGTATTTCCAAGTACTGCTGGTGGGATCTGAGTAATTATCAAAGCATTCCACTCTCCAAAAGGCTCTTCTGCTGTCACTGGTGATTTCCACAAACCAACAGAAGAGAACTCGCATCAAGTCCCTGCCATATGCAGCTGCTCAAGGAAAGAGCAGCCCCTGGGTCCCATCACTCAGAGGATGGCTTGGATAGGATGGATCCTCGAGGATCTTCCTTGCTCCCTGGGTGACCTGCTGCACACTGGGATGTTTTAGCACATCTGGCTTAACCACACAGGGTGGGTTATCAAATAAGTCCTCTTGAAAAACAAAGGTAGTTCAAAAGTAAAATATTTTGGGCATACAAAAGCTTCTACTTTTACTCTTAGGTTTTTAATACCACCTGAAACCTTTGCCTGACTGTGGATGATAAGCTCTCCTAGAAACTACAAGCTAACCAATGGTTTTAGCAGCATAGACACAGTGAAAAAGACAGTAACACATGACCGAGGTCATTGAATGCAATACTTATATGGAAAAAAGGGCACAGAAAAATGAGACAGTTGAAAAGTTTTGCTGCAGTATTCAACTTTGGAGGCATAAAAGAGAAAAGAAAAATTTTACTGGGCTACATTCTGGTCAAAAAAGAATATTTTTATGTTATATGCTTCCTAATGTTTTTTTTCTCCTATCTCTGTTCCTTTAAGTGATTCTTTCAAAGCCTGCTTACAGTTTTTGCTAAATTTCCCAGTATCTCCTCTATTATTCATTCTTCTTCTGGATTTTATCTATGGATTTCGGCTTTCAGAATAATCAAAGCAACTTTTCTCTAACCCAAATGCTCAATTTACAGAGAGAGGGACATATCAGAGCTTGAAAATATAGCTTTTGTTTCCTTACTGTTTCTAAATACCTGCTGCACTTTTTCATTAAAGGATCAAAATTCAAAGATAAGTAGTCTACAAATGAGCTACTTTGAAATAAATAAATTATTTAAAATTAAATATAACTCATGAAAGAGGAAGACAGTAAATAGCTGGAAAAAAGCCTCGCCTTTGTGAAAACAATCCTTTTTGGTTAGTTTTTTATCCATTGGATATTACTCATATAAAGACTTTGTTATCATTGTAGTAAAGAGAAAAACTGAAACAAAACCCCAGGATGCAAGAGAGGGTTACACAGAAGAATGCAAATGGAAAACTCCACTTAAACTCCATCTACAATAACCAGCATAATTTTCCTTTAAACTTGCTTTGCTTACTGTAATGTCTCCAGACCTAAATAATTGGAAGATATTTTCTGATAAAGAAAAGAGTTGAAAAAACCTAAAAACTTTTTGGAACCAAAATTATTTTCTAACTTAAACAAGGAGTTCAGCTATCAACGTACAAAAAAAAAAAAAAAAAAAAAAAAAAAAAAAAAAAAAAAAAAAAAAAAAAAAAAAAGGAAAACATTAAATGTCTCTTCTGAAAAGAATGGAATGTTTAATATTTTGAAACCAAACACTTCAAATTTTCCTTTCAGGATGTTCTTTTAGGAGAAAATAAATGTTTTGGTTTTACTCCAAATCACTTTAAAAAAAAACACCAACATAAACACTATTAAAAAATAAAGAACAAGCATTTCTTCTAAACTGATCAGAACTTTTTTCCCCTGTCATCATTCACAGCCAAAAATTCTCTGTCTGTGTCACAATCACAAGAAAATTTCAAACGTGGGTATTACAAGAGAGGTTTTGCAACCAAGTAAGGGCTATAAGGAAGGGTAGCTATCTCACCCTCTCCAAAGTTCACCCATTTGAGACAAGCACCCAGACATATCTAATGCAAAACACATTTTACTGTTGTGTGAAAAGGGAACTGAAAAAAGCTGAACAAAATAAAACCACCGTGACCATCAAACACTCCATCAGTGTAAACTCTTTTTCTTTCTATATCCGGAAAACTCTAAGTTGCCTGTTTTGCTCTCACAATTAAAACAAAACAAAATAACCCTTTTTTTTATGCCACCCTCAGTGGCATTTTGCTACTCTAAACTCCAGCTGTTTTAACATCAGGCATTTATCTTTAGTGGTTGCCTTTATAGACAACAGAAAAAAACAGCAAGTTCCGAGGATGTCCTATGCAATTCCTGAGAGAGGTATTTAAGACAATCAGGAAGATGCAACCTTTGGAGGTGAACACATGTCTCCACTTACTACAGAAGAAACCAAGTAAATTAACCTTTGAAGAGCCTCAGTGAAGGAAAACATGATAGTTTCACATCAGACTCCTGGCTGAACTGACCTCTGGGTTGGATAAATCAGAAGTTACACTCCTAGCAGCTTCTTCTAGCTTCATGGTAGGTGATTGTGTCAGTCATACCTGATTGTGTCAGTCATACCTAATTGCTTCTGGCTGTGGTTTTGAGTTACAGGTGGGATCAGTTTATTTGTCTAAGTAACAACATCTAGTGCCATCTGGATTACCACAGGGTATCTCAGGTGGCTGTATGGGGCTAAAAGGCATGACAGAGGATGTGCAGAAGACCCAGGTTCTTCTGGACTGTCAGTCAGAGGCCATGCCAACTGAGCGTCCCAAATGGCCTTGGACATCTGTCTTTAGCCAGTTGAGCCAATACGCTTTCAAGCCAATATACTTGGATCACAACCCTTGGCAAAGGGGGATGCAGAGGAAGTCTGTTCAACTTACAGAGAAGTAGATGCTGCCATTTGGGAAGACACCTCCTGTCACATTCTCAGATCTAGGCAACTCTCCATGAGGGCTGAATCCAAATGCCACCCAGCTGGTTGTACGGACCTGCAGTTCAAATGACATCATCTCCCGTTCATCGTGGTCCCAGCAGAGGTAGGCCATGTTTGAAGGGTCCAGGAAAACAGAGAAACGCAGTGGTGGAAGTGCAGGCTGACCAGAACAAAAGCATGGCAGGAACAGGAGGAAGAGCATACCCTTGATTCTTGAGAAGAGAAATACCACCAGCAGCAGGACAACTGCAGTTTCTGAGTCTTGCTGATACCGTGTGCAGCTATTCTGCTACGAGGGCCCAGTTTATACGGAAGTGCACGAGGCTGGGCCTATTGCCAGAAAGGAGGAGTGGAAGCTGACTGCTCTATATCAAATTTAACATGTAGGAAAGATTAACACTTTCGAGAACATGTCCTGGCACTCCGCCTAAGTGAAACCCTACTAGGTCATTCCGTTTACATCTTAAAACATTTTAAAGAGCTGTTTTGTAGTACACAAACCAAAAAAAGTAGTAGTACACAAACACAAACAAAACTCCTACTGAGTACTCCTCAGGGTGCGTGAGTGCTGGTTTTCCTCACCAAGGAGAAGGGGGTCTTCCAATTAACCTTACCTTTCTGTTGTAAACACTGAAATGAACTCTTGACTATGCCACCCTATTGTCTGGTGTGATGATTATTGGCGAGTTTGTTGGGAATGGGTTGGTGAGTCTTAGTGCCATGGCTTATCAGAGGAAACTACTGTGGCACATAAAAAGGGCTCCTGGACTGTAATGGAATAGTAGAATAAGAAAAAATGCCTTTGCTCCATGCACTATATGTTGGTGGGAATGAGCAGAAGGAGAAAAGGCTCTGTTGCCCTGCCTAAGACCTTTCAACATAATGATATGAAAAACAAAGAGCCGCAGCAGGTTTCCAACAGGGTCTGCCAGGAAGTGCCTTATGCATCTCATCTCCAGTTTGCCCAGTAGTGTAATCCACTACAAAACATAGCCTGGGTCTGTGGACTTTGAAGGTTGTGGTAATTTATTCCTATTTACTTGATAGCAAAGCCTAGAAAAGCCCATTTCATAGAATCATAGAATCATTGAGGTTTGAAAAGACCCTTGGGATCATCGAGTCCAACCATCAGCCCTACTCTACAAAGTTCTCCCCTACACCATGTCCCCCAATACCACATCGAAACGACTCTTGAACACATCCAGGGATGGTGACTCCACCCCCTCCCTGGGCAGCCTGTTCCAATGCCCGACCACTCCTTCTGTGAAAAATTCTTTCCTAATGTCCAGTCTAAACCTACCCTGCTGTAGCCTGAAGCCATTGCCTCTCGTTCTGTCACTAATTACCTGCGAGAAGAGACCAGCACCAACCTCTCTACAGTGTCCTTTCAAGTAGTTGTAGGGAGTGATGAGGTCTCCCCTCAGCCTCCTCTTCCTCAAACTAAACAGTCCCAGCTCCTTCAACTGCTCTTCATAAGATTGACACTCCAGGCCCTTTGCCAGCTTCATCGCCCTCCTCTGTACTCGCTCCAGCAGTATTTGTATTAATCTTCTGAGACAAGTGCTCGCAGAAGAGAGGAGTAACAGGAAGGAGAGATATCTAATCTGATCTTCAGCGACAAGGCTTAAACAGCTCAAATTGCATGCAGATTGCTTGAACCCCAGATTACTTTGCTGGCAGTCCTGCTGTGGACAGCAAGGATATTTGTGGTTTATTTACTGAGTTATAGAATACAATGCCAACGTTTTAAATTTTCTCTGCTCCAGGGAGGCACAAGACACTGTTCTAGAAGCACCAGGTGGAGGAGAGGGATATGGTAATACCAAGGGAGCATTTCAAGGCCAGGACAGCACAGACATATCGGAACTGAGGGACTTCAGCCCCTCTATAGGGAGAACCAAAGACAGAGCTGATGATGAAGTGGGGAGGGAATAAGGGAAGAGAATCTGCTTTGCTGGTGCTTTGCAGAGCTGCTGGTGTGAGAAAACGTCACTGTTGCCACTTCTCCACTCTTAAGCAGAAAATCCCTTTCTCACATGGAGAGGAGCATGAGATTAGGAAATGCAACTGAGACACCGCTGGAAGACATGACTACCCTGGGATTAGGATGAGGAATGGTTTGGCTGTGTGACAAAGATTAGAACCGCGTGGTTTCTTTGATGAAGCAGGATGTGGTGTTTGCATGCCACTGCTGAGGGGTGTGGGACAGATACCCAGGAACAGGAAGATACCACAGATTGGCAGTGAGGAAGATGCCAAAGAAGATTATAAAATTATAGGTTACCTGAGTAGAGGAAAGAAGGTAAAACCCCTTCCTTTAGAAAACTAAGTGCTCCTACAGGAGCCAGGTGTGAAAACAAAGAGGAGGCTCAGGACCACAGGGTGCAACAGCACTTTTAAGGATCTGCCTCATGTGGCAGATGGAGACACCCAGAGAGAAGAGGAAAGCAGTGATGTTCCACTGTTTTTTCTCTTGGGGATTTTGATGACGTATAACAAACATGGGAGACAGGGAATAATGAAAGTATTATGCCCAGTACTCTTTTGAAACGGCCCTGAAAGCTCCACTGCTGAAACCCTTTGCTGTCACCACACACATCCCTGACACCTTGCCAACTCCATCCCCCACATCTCCCCCCCTCAACAGCTCCCTGTTGCAGGGTAGGAAGTATAGGATTCCTGTTACAACCAGTTGAAGCAATGTCGGTATTTTATTTCACAATATCTGACCTTCTCTTGAGGTTATTTAACACCTTCACTTCTTCTCTTAGGCCAATTTTTAAGAAAATACTGCACTTAAAAAAAAAAAAAAAAAGAAGAAAAAAAGCCTCACAGAGTCTTGTTTTGGAATTGTGGAAAGAAATGCAACCTTCACCTTGAAGATGGCAAGCTGTCAGAACTGGATATCCAGTCAAAGGGATTTATTTAGGGTGCCTTCATGGTCAGTGGCACAGGGAGCCTAGACTAACTTAGACAAAACAGCTATTTTTTAAATTACTTAAGTGACATGGAATGAATCAAAAATGCAGCATTTGCATTGCAGCAGTGAAAATGCAGCATTTTCACTCATTTTTTTTAGTACAAAGCTAATCATTCATAGGAGGAATAACCCTGTGCCTCAGTACAGGCTGGGGCCTGACCTGCTGGAGAGCAGCTCTGTGGAAAAAGAACTGGGGTTCCTGGTGGACAACAGGATGACCATGAGCCAGCAATGTGCCCTTGTGGCCAAGAAGGCCAATGGCATCCTGGGATGCATCAAGAAGAGCTTGGCCAGCAGGTGGAGGGAGGTCATCCTGCCCCTCTGCTCTGCCCTGGTGAGGCCCTATCTGGAGCACTGGGACCAGTTCTGGGCTCCCCAGTTCCAGAAGGACAGGGAACTGCTGGAGAGGGGACAGCAGAGGCTACAAAGATGATTAGATGACTAGAACATCTCCCTTACGAGGAAAGGCTGAGGGACTTCGGTCTTTTTAGTCTAGAGAAGAGAAGGCTGAGGGGGGATCTGATCAATACTTATAAATACTTAAAGGGAGGGTGTCAGGAGGCCGGGGACATTTTTTTTTCCAGTGGTGCCCAGGGACAGAACAAGAGGAAATGGGCACAAACTTAAACATAGGAAGTTCCATCTAAACATGAGGAGGAACTTCTTTCCTGTGAGGGTGGCAGAGCCCTGGAATAGGCTGCCCAGAAAGGTGGTGGAGTGTCCTTCTCTGGAGACATTCAAACCCTGCCTGGATATGCTCCTGTGAAATCTGTGAGGCCTCACCAGTGCCCAGTGCAGAGGCACCATCACTGCCCTGCTCCTGCTGGCCACACTATTCATGATACAAACCAGGATGCTGCTGGCCTTCTTGGCCACCTGGGCACACTGCTGGCTCATGCTCAGCCGGCTGTCCACCAACACCCCCAGGTCCTTTTCTGCTGGGCAGCTCCAGCCACTCTTCCTCGAGCCTGTAGCGCTGCCTGGGGTTGTTATGACCAAAATGCAGGACCTGGCACTTGGCCTTATTGAACCTCACCCCGTTGGCCTTGGCCCATCGATCCAACCTGTCCAGATTACTCTGTAAAGCCTTCCTATCCTCAAGCAGATCAACACTCCCACCTAGTTTGGTGTCATCTGCGAACTTACTGAGGGTGCACTCAATCCCCTCATCCATATCATCCATAAAGATATTAAACAGGACTGACCCCCAAAACTGAGCCCTGAGGGACACCACTAGTGAAGGGCGTGTGTTAAAGAAAAGCCATTAGAAATGCATTCAAAATGGAATACGGGCAACCTACAGTGACACTAGATGGCACTGGAACATTAGTGAGGGATCCAAAACCACTACAGGCAACACCTCACGACCTGCTGCACCTCTGCATCATGCGAATTGCAGCTATGGTGCTTCAAGACGCTTGCAGATATCTTTATTGACCCCGAATAAAAGAACTAACTTCAGGATCCAGCACAAAGAAGAGCATGGCACGACTGTTGGGATTTCCATAGTCTGGTGTGGGCTCCGACAGTGACTGTGCATTTGACTTATAGAAATTATACGTTGGCTGCCTCCTAGAAGGGGTGGTGAAGTGCAATTGTTGCAAAATGCATTTAATTCCAGAAAGGCAGAAGGGAATGCATTAGGAGCATGCATTACCATTATTTCTTTACATTTTCTTCATGTGGTTTCAAAGACAGAAGAAGTATAACAGCTTGGTCATGGAGCCTTTGTGTTCTCACATCTTGATTTTGTGTCCTGCACCCTGTAAATACCCACTTTTTCAACAGTGCTGGTTCCTGCAGCTTCTCTTCAACACAATGACACAATTTCCCAGCACTTCCCCATACCATGATGCCCCTTCTGGCCCTACACCCCAAATCAGTTATCTCTGCTGTAAAATGACTGGTTCTTTCTCCATCCCACACTCCCTAACGGATTTTGTTTGGCCCAGCTCCTGGTCAAGGGGCAGCATGCCCTTACAGTGATGTAGAATCATGCATGTGGTCCCTGGGTGGCCAGCACTCTTGTGTTTCTCAAGGGGGGCAGCAGAACCAACCATAACCACATTCTCCTGCCTTTCCCTCACTGGTAACACTAATAAGGTCTCACTCCTCTGCCAACTGTAGCATACAAAAGCAAAATGCTTTTGAGGACAGTGTTCCTCTGCCTACCTCAGATAACATCTGTTAATAAGTTGAAGAGCTCAGGGGAAGAGGACACCAACCAGAAAATCAGCAGATCAATAAGCAGAGAGAGACAAGAAAGCAGCCACCTCATTTTCTTGGGAAATGTAGCTAAAAATGTCACTATGTCACACAGAAACAAAACATGATGCATGGTCTGGGCTTTTCAATTAAGTAAATTGACTGCTTAGTGATTCTTTTCTCTATGAATCCACGCCGTTACGAGTCTGTGAATGGCTCAAGCAGAGCAGGAGTCATAGGAATCTGCTCAACTTTTTGAAGGTCGTCCTTTTACAGCACAGAAAAGAGGATGCTACCTGTATCTATTGGATCTGCTTTTTTTCTGTAGAGACATGTGAAAGCAGCGATGACATCTGAGGGCTAGATCTTTCTGCCAAGTAATTTCTATTTATTTCTGTCATCTCTAAAAAAAAAAAAATAAAAATCCCACAGTCATCTACCAGAGCCCTACCTGTATCTATTGGGTCTGCTTTTTTTCTGTAGAGGCATGTGAAAGCAGTGATGACATCTGAGGGCTAGATCTTTCTGCCAAGTAATTTCTATTTATTTCTGTCATCTCTAAAAAAAAAAAAATAAAAATCCCACAGTCATCTACCAGAGCCCTTATCAGGAAAGATTTTGAAGATGGAAATATGGAAATCACTGTGGAGGCTGAAGGAATGAATTAAAAAAAGAACAGCAGGTCAGCAAGAAAGGGAAGACAGGAAATAGACGGCAGCCAGCTAGCTACAGTGAAATGCCACCCCTCTGCCTTCTGTGAACAGAAGGATAATCAAACTGCATTGCAGTCTCAGGTGGCTTTGTTACTTTTCCTTCAACTCTACGAATGCCTTGAAAAACCCATCAGCATATGCCATGAGAAGTAATGTGGTGCTGCTTAGTACAAAAAGCTACTGAAATGTATTAACTGTGAAGGAAATGCAGCTCCAGCACACGAGCCCATACATCAAATGAGGTTTACAGCTTCACTAGGACTAAGCAACACTATCAAGAGCAACTTGGTATAATCGATCCCAAACTTTGCCTCTGAGGTAGAGCAAACAAATACACAACTGTACAATTATCAGACAGATATTTTAACTTGGAGCAGCCTAAGCAGTCAAGTGAACATACCACAACAGAGATGGAGAATGAACAGCAACTGAATTGAAACAGTACAAATTATAGTTCCAAGGATGTAAGGATCTGACCTTTTATGTTAAGAACTTTTGCTGTTCTTAGTCCACATTGAACCCTTACACTTAAACATCAACCCATTTGCTTCTTAGCTTCTCTATCACTTGCAGACAATCAGCCAAAAAATATTTTCCAAACATCTGCAAAACCTTACCTGAATATTCCCTAAAACTGATGATGAGTCTAACTCCCTCACCCAGCTCCCACAAAGAGTAGGAGTCCTCTGTGAAACATGGCAAAGGCTCTGCCTGCATTCTACAAGATGCTCACCCAGCCTGGGTATTCTGTGCAATCAGAATTTCCCAGTGCATCATTCTGGTGATGAATGAGAGCATTTTATAGCCTCCAGGAGGGTTCAGCTGCAAAGGAGTCCCTCTGAAGCCAGAGACAGACAATCCTGGTACTACACGCTGGCCTGCTTGTCAGAAATGTCTGCATCACAGCAGGGTGGTATTTGTCTGCCAAAATACCCTTCTAATTAACTGCTCGATTACACACAATAATGGGCCATTGCCCTGCTTGGCTCACTCGTCTCTCATCTTCCAGGTGTTTCACAATCCCAGGATTTGCCCAAAAGCCAAGAGAATAGTCCCAGTGCATTGTGCAGTCCATTTTCCCTGAGATGACTGCTAGCATTAACTTTCTATTCATCAGGAGAGCCCACCTGCTATGGGTCTTTTGTCCTGCAGTCACCTCCATACCCTGTCAGGTGGCTTGTTTACTCTCTGTTACATTACAACTGTGTTAGGACCGTTTTCATATCCTTTGGGTTTTCCTTTTGCACAAAGAGCCTGCTGGAGTTTGCTGTTATGGTGACTCTTAACACCCACAAACACCTATTTCTCTTGAGGCTGCTACTGCTACGGTACAGTACTGCTACAGTAGCAGCTGCAATTTGCAGGACAACTTCCTCCCTATTTCCATTTAAACTGCTTTACTATCTAAAAGTCACAGTAAAGTGTAAAAGTCACACTGAGGTGGGCGCTTTACAAATGCAATGAAAAGACAGTCTATTGTCCAAGAGCTTAATGTTTAAGTTAATTAAGCATAGAAATGATAGGGGTCATAGAAATCTGTTTTTTTTACAGAGTATTAAGTTAAACTACCTGCAGAGGACAATTTCCCTTAAGCAGAACATCTTGCTTTAAGACATCTTTCCTGTTGATATGAATACTGAGTGGAGTCTCTGCAGGAGTGGGCCCAGAATACAGCTCTTCTTTGCTGCTGCTAAAGGGCTAAAGAACATAATATACATTTCTAAATGTACCAAGAAAGTGTGACATCTAGTGCTCCTCTATAAAAAAGTGGGAGATAAAGAAGGAGGGAAGTGCAGGTGCTGGGTTTGCTTTCTCATATTTTTTACACAGAAGTAAATCCAGTAATCCTATCTGTTAATTATTCCTGATTTACACTGATGTAAGTGAAAGGATTCAGGTTCTTCAATCTGAATCATTTGTTCTTTTAGCTCCAGGAAAACCTGAAGTTTGAAAGTCTATTACAACATCAAGAATAAGCCACTCTCCACCTCTACAGTCTCCATTTTATTGCTGCTGGTTGTGAAGGATGTCTGATCACGACGGGGATGTAGATGAGGAAAAGGAATTAATTTGAAATTCTGTTTTGGTCGTCTGGACTATTTCAAGGTAAAACGAACATTGAATGTACTTACAATGTGCACAGCCCATGTACAGACAGATACAGCTTATATTCCTGAGTACAAAAAATACCTACAAAATATACCAAGTATGCAGCTGAAGCAATCATCATTTGTGCTGTGTATTACTTAATTGGAGGGAAAAAAAGAGAATTTTTTGGAAGAGCTGTTTCACCACTGTGTTCTGCTTGGTCATTTTTTATAGGCTTTTCCATCTGGGTCTCCAAGTGTTTCTCTGGAAGAGCATGTTTCCATGTGTTCTGCACATCGTTGTCTGTTGTGCCTGTGGAGGGCACAGGGGGAGTCAGTCTTTCAGCCAGTTCACTTTTCAGTGTGTCAGCCGTATCTTTCCAGATATTTTCTGTAACAATAAATAAACAAAATGGGAGGGTAAGACTGCAGACTTCGCGGCAGATAAAACACACGATCGCCACAAATTGACAAAAAATCAATTGAAAATTTTCTCTGGGGTCTTACAACCACAACTGATGTGTTTGTTTGCTCTGAAAGTCAAGCGCACTATGGTGTGGTGACAGATACCACAATTATTTTGCTGTTGGTAGGGAAAAGATCTTTCTATGTGAAGCTTTAGTACTGCCAGTCTTCTTGCTGGAAGCCGCTATAAAACATAAGTAATGGGTTTCTACAGAAGTGAGAAACAGTGGCTCTATCCACCCCATCCATTACCTGCACACTGTGTGCCATCCCCTCACCTTACTTCAGACAGATGATATTAAATATAAAGAAATACTGAACACTGATATAAATGCACTTAGTTCTCCAGGTAGCACATGCTTACGAATATCCTCTTTTTTCTTTTCTGGTGTAGAGAGAGCGCTGTCACTCAGGTTCCTTGAAGTCTGTGTTTTCTGTTTTGCTCTGTATGTTTTTGGCTCCTGGATCCATGCATGCCTCATTGCTTCATCCGGAGTCATGCGCAGGGCAGGTTCCCACCTTAAAGCCATGGTAGACAAATAGTTATTTAACAGTAGCTCTGAATGAAAGTCAGTTTAAGCCAAAAGATTCAGTTTAAGCCAAAAGATTCAGTATTGTCTTCTGAAAGTCATTTCATGAGGACATTTTTTACAACAAAAGAATTTTAACTGAAAACAAGAAAAAATCGTATGTGATCTCCATCCTTCTAAACTTTTTATTTACTCCAGCACTGTGTACTTTGCTGATCAAACCCTCTGCGGCATCGAACCAATTTCAATACACAGTTCACAGGGTTACAAGGCATGGGACCCTACTCAATAATGGCTTCAAGGTTTTCACCTTCTGTCAATGCAAGCTCCCAGGTAAGGAAAATAAATGAGATGCAGGGTAATTCTTTAAAAGGTATGTCTTACCTAATTTAACTGCACCTGAAACTAATGTAGAGACTTAATGTAACAAAACTCACGTAAGATCTTATTATGGAAATGAAAGGTGGGGTTTTTTTTGCAAAATCTATGCACTGACTTCATTCATTCAATCCTCACACCCACGTAGTCACAAGTACCGAGTGTTCTGGACAAGACCACTTTTCTGTCACTCAGGATGAGGGTTGTCAGCCACTGGGCATGGTCCTTTGGATCAGAACCTTCCTGACTTCAGTCTCCATAACGGCTAGGTAAGATATCTACTCATGTCTATTTTTCCTTGTATTTTGGAATATATCTTTGTTTTCCTTTTGGGCTAACAGGAAAATGAACAGCATATGTGATATCTGCACCCTTGTCGCCAGGCAATTGCTGTGAGCTTTGAGATTTTTCACTGCTGGTCACCTGTGCTGTGGTCTCACCAGTGTGCAGGCTTTCTGGCTGTGTGACAACACACTCCCTGGTTCTACAGGTGGGAGCACTGTCCTTTGTTACCAATAGACACCATTCTTTCAACCCTTGTTCTACTGTTTCTCCCAGTGCTTAAACACACATATATTTTCACTCATACTGCATTACAGAATCACAGAATCACATGAGGTTGGAAGGGACCTCCAGAGATCATCTAGTCCAACCCCCTGCCAAAGCAGGTCCACCCAGAGCAGGTTGCACAGGAACGTGTCCAGGCAGGTTTGGAATGTCTAAAAAGAACCAAGCATTTCCTTGTAAGAGAGATGTTCTAGTCCCTTGATCATCTTTGTAGCCCTCTGCTGTAGACAGGAACGTGTCCAGGCAGGTTTGGAATGTCTAAAAAGACCCAAGCCTTTCCTTGTAAGAGAGATGTTCTAGTCCCTTGATCATCTTTGTAGCCCTCTGCTGTAGCCTCTCCAGCAGTTGCTTCATATCAGTCCTCCAGTTGATTCATATCAGTCCTAAGATTTCTGTTAATAATCCCTACACGTGTGGCAGACTATTTAATTCTATTTTGTCTAATCTCAGTGCTGTCCAGAACTGTACAGAAGTAATATAGGAAAAAAAGATATACTTGTCATCACAAGAGCTGATCGAATTATTTTTTTTTTTGGTCTGACGGTTTTATCCACAAAACAGGTGCATACAAGTTGAATGAAACTATTTGTGAAGTCATGGCAAACGTATCAAGCTGCTTTGGACAGACACAAATTGACACTGAATTGAAACTGAAAATAGTTCAATTCTTTTTTGTCTCAAAAAGAGTTTTAATTTCAAACCTTACTTCATTCCTTTGAAAATTTAAACAATCTAAACAGACAACATTTTTTTCTGTGTGACCTGAAATGACTCATTTACAGGTTCTTTTGCTTCACTGAAATTGTTTCCTAAATGTTCTGATTCAGCCAGCAAACAAAAATGGATCAATGATTCATACAGATTTAGCAAGCAGAGAACATTAAAAGCGACCTTATTGTGAAACAGAGAGATGGTTGTTTGTTTTTTTTTTAATATATCTAACCACAAGTTAGAATCATAGCATCACAGAATGGTTAGAGTTAGATGGGACCTTAAAGATCATCTAATTCCAACCCCCCTGTCCTGGGCAGGGACACCTCCCACCAGACCAGGTTGCTCCAAGCCCCATCCAGCCTGGTCTTAGCATGGATTTCTTTAGCAAAGCACTATTGCACTGCTAGAAAGCAACTTATAGTTCAGTGCTAAAACAGACACAAAATATTAGCCTTGCATAAGACATAGGTAACACTGGAAAAGGTATGGGACCAGCTTCTGCTACCATTACAGAGTACAAATTAAGATCCAAGCTCACCGAGAAAGCCTTACTGCACCTATGCAAGAGGTCAGTATTTAAGGCAACCAGACAAAAGTTTGTTCCTGCATTCTTAGTCTTTCAGTTTGCTGGATGAGTAAACCTCATTAGCAACCATCTGCCAAATCACGTCTCTCTTCCCCCACTTTACCACTGAAGCTCTCACTGTCAGTGTGAAACAAGAAAACAAGAAACCCAAAACACCACACCAAAAGGCCCCAGCAGATACAAAGATTTTAAAGGCACAAGAGAATGAAAGCAAAGTCAAAACTAGCCTGCTGCATATAAGTCAAAATTATGAACTCACATAAGACATCCTTTCAGAAAGTCCAAGAAACCAGCATCATGGGTTTTCAGTACTGTGCTTAGATCCTTGGAGTCTGGGCATCTCGTTTTTCCCTTGCTGTTAGTTATGGATTTAGGAAAACCTTTGGAATCTTAAAAAAACAAAGACATGCTCAAAATATATGTTTAAAATCCTCACCAAATCTATAACAGAGTTGCAAAAACAGTACCCATATCCATCCCACTAACTCCAGTTTTGCCCTGTTGGCTTGATAGTCTGCCAGCATTGTGGCAAACAATATTGGTTGCATCCTAGAGATTGCATCCTACACCACGTTCTTTTGCTTGTTTTGTGTAATTTCCAAAAACAAATGATACCCAGAGAAATTAACTTAATCCAAATTAGTTCCCAAAGCCCACTTTCAGCAATAATATTTTTAAGGAGTAACAGCAGAATGGATTTCCCAATCCCTTCCCTATCACTTTGGCAACGAGAGGTCCATAAAACATGAAAAGTGCAGCGCCAGGTTCATTTGTAGCTTCATGTTCCCCATTTCTTCTTTTTCATATCTCTTCCTGAAAGAAGTTTTGTCAGCTAAGAAGCAGCTAAGCTTCTCTTACCCTCTACCAGTACCCTCTACCATTCTCTACCAGTAATATTAACTAGGGATTAACTGGCAGGAAGGAATTCCACAAGGACAAACAATCAGAAGGAGTTACCAAAGAACGTTCGCTTCCTTGATGCAGCCTGGATAAAATCAGCTGGTGGAAGACCCAATACCTTCAACACAGAACATGAATTCATGAAGTTACTCTTCATTTCACAAACATACATAGTGACTGTCAGGAGAGATGAGATATTTCACCCCCTTCTATATGGACAGAAGCTGGATGTAGGAGTTGACTGTGAAATGTCTATAAACCATTTCCTTTTGTGCCATTCATTGTGGAAGCAAATAAGGCATTCCTTAAAGGTTTTTTACATAGAAAAAGTGATCTTATAAGGGATGACACTAGAATCCTCACTACCACAGATGACCCTTAGGACAAGCATCTCTGTTAATGACACGTGTAGGAGGCAACATGGAGAGATGCTGTCTTTGAAAAATCTTGTACAAACTAACGCAGCAGTATAAGGATCAGAATTTAGGGCTGAGTTCAACACCAAGTTGCAGTTTTGTGATTGGCATAGACTATCTAAGCAACTTGCTTTCATGGGTCAGTTTTGCACCTATTCTAACATTTGCAGTGGGCAGGTGATCTGAGGTATCAGATGCCACAGTACATTCATAAAGCTCTTTGATGAACAGTTACAAAGCTGACAGAGCCAAACTTCTTTGCAGGGGCAGACAGTGTAAGAAGGGGCAATATCTACAAATTGTGGCTTGAGAAGTTCAGGGTGACTATTTGGAAAAACTTTTTCACCAGGAGAGTAGAGCAGGAGTTGAGCAGGTCACCCAGAGAGTTTCCACTCAAGATTTTGAGGTTTTCAAGACTTGCTAGACACAGCTGACTAACCAAATGCTAGCAAAAATATCTCTCTCAGCAGGAGTTTGGACTAAGGAAATCCAATTTAACCTACATATATTGGAGAAGATGAGTCTGTTATAACTGCTTTTCCTTTCCCTTAGATATGCTTCTTCTGTTCTAACTTGTCCATACAAATTTAGACCAGATTATAATATGTGTCCTTCAGAAGCAAGACAATGAGTGTACAAAGCAGTGTTTGGCACATGAAATGGAAATAATAGTTTTGCATTAGAGCCCATCCTTCCAAAGAGCCCTTCAGCTGTCATAAACCTCCCTCTAGAAGGCCAGCCCATAGACAAATATACTTCATCATCTCTTGTCATTTCTCTTTGTTTCTGGCAGTGTAGTTTATCAAATGAGTATGTAATTCAAAAGACAATCCCAAAAGTTACCTCCATGATGCAGGCAAGTTGGTCAACTTCATTTTCCCCTGGAAACAGCGGGTAGCCTGTGTGAAGCTCAGCTATGATACAGCCTAAGCTCCACATATCAACAGCCATAGCATAAGGATGACCAAGAATCACTTCAGGCGAGCGATAAAACCGGCTCTGAACATAGGTGTACACTATATCAAAACAGAAAATTACACAAGAATCAAAATATCAGAAATGGCACAGAAGCGTTGATTCCAGATTTCACAGAAAAGTGAAATACATGTTCAGGTATTTCTACTCTATCCATTACCTGCCATTAAGGGTTTGCTCACGTAGGCTCTGAAAACCTTTTCTAATTCTATCCTAAAATCAGTGGGTTCCACTATTCTATGTGGAAATTGTCCTTCAGCAAGTTTTATTGGAAGAAATTATTCTATTTATGCCGTGATTCAGCTAACTCCATGTTCATTTTCCTATTTGGAGGTCTTCCCCTCGCATCAATCAACATTTCTTCATTATCACAGGCTTGAACTGTAGAAAATACTGGTTTCACTGATACCTAAGGAACATCTCCTACTGCCTTCTGATTTCCCCATTAATGCATTATAGCCCCATAGCAGATGTCAAAAGATCTCATTCCAAGATTGGGGACTCATCATAGCAAATAGTTGAGTCACCATCCCTGAAGATATTTCAAAGCCATGTAGGTGTGGTGCTTAGGGACATGGTTTAGTGGTAGACTTGGCGATGCTAAGTTTATGGATTAATTCTATAAACTTGAAGGTCTTTTCTGACCTAAGCGATACTATGATTAGCTCAATCAAATAAATAGTTTTTCCACATTTTTTTAAAATTAAGAAAGGTTATTAAGAAAATTACATCAACTTGACTTTTCTGCAAACCTCTTTGGTGTTCATAGCAGCTTGATCCAAAATCAATAACTTTAACTGAACCTTGGCCTTTGTGGTACAATAATATGTTCTCCTAAAGAGGAAAAAAAAAAATCACAGGGAAAAAAGGGGTTTAACACCACATTAGGTTAGTGAATACTTTGGAAAAGAAGCAATGAGCATAACACAATGAGTTTACACTTATTTGCATAATAAAAGCTTAGAACTTTGACTTCCTTGGGAATGCATTTGCTATTGTGCAGTCATCCAATAATATGCAATTAACCTAAGCAGAGGGGAGATTTGTAAAGGTACCCAGTTTGAAGGTTAGCTAGACCAGGACACTAGTCCCTTACATTCAATCCAAGCCAATGCACTGTGCAGTGTGTGGTGCTATCAAGGTAGTCATCCAATAATATGCAATTAAGCTATGCAGAGGGCAGATTTGTAAATTTGAAGGTTAGCTAGACCAGGACACTAGTCCCTTACATTCAATCCAAGCCAATGCACTGTGCAGTGTGTGGTGCTATCAAGGCACCAGCCAGTGAGATTGCTTGCTCTGTGAGCAGACTGAGCTCCCCAAAACTCATTGTTGTTAATCTAGTAAAAGGCAAACCGCATCTGCTTGTGTGCTCTGCTAAATTAACCAGAATCATCCTTTTGTAACCACACAGAAAGCCCCAGTCCCATGAACGAGTTGTACTTCACAATTTTTCCCTCGTTTGCTTTCAACCTGCTGGGGACTCGCTGTGAGCACACCTCTCCCCACCTCACAACAGCGTGATGCAAAGATCCCAAGGCCGTGATGAGCAGAAATGCTGGGGCCCTGTGGATTATTTGCTGGGTGCAGCACTGTGTGCCAACGACTCCAGCCTGAGAAGTGATGATTCTTAAACAGCTAGCTCATAAATACTTGCACTGATGAGTACACATAGCCTATTAGCTCTCTTCTGGAGAGCTGAATTTTATCATTAAAAATCTATGTAAATCAAGGATATCCTGTGGTTTCCTTTCTAAACACACAGTCTTCTCCACTTCTCAGCAATGAGATGGCTACCTTTATCAACCAGTTTTAAAGTGATCATACATCAAAGCTTTGAAGGACTGAGCAATCCCCATGCCAAACTGATAAAGCAGTTTCTCGGGTAATTAGTAGGAAATTCTGTGTGTGACAGGAGGGAGAAAGCATCAAAGCTTTGAAGGACTGAGCAATTCCCATGCCAAACTGATAAAGCAGTTTCTTGGGTAATTAGTAGACTCGTAAGGAAATTCTGTGTGTGACAGGAGGGAGAAACTGCTGCTTCTGGTCAAAGTCAAGGCAAGGACTGACTTCCACTACCCAAGTGCTCTTGGGTTCTGTCATGGGAGGAAGCATCCTCTCTCTGCAGCTAGCTATTCCTTCATGCTCATGGTAGGACTCTCTCTCTAATACTGAATCTCTCTCAATGCAAGGGAGCTAATTAAATACAAAAGCAGGTTTTGGAGGGCAGTAATTACCTAGCATGTAGTGCAGAGAAGCTCCATACTCTACCTTATGTTGAGAAATATCATAGGAGGCAGATGGAATAACAGATGTGGGTTTCAAGCAACACAAATTAAATTCATGAAAGTGTATACAATTGTAGAATGAGAACAAACTTCTCCTTTAGTTAATTCACTAAATGGTCACTAATATGTTACTCTGTTTAAATGCATACTACACTCATTGATCTTGCCAACCTCATTCCTTGTCAGTGAGTGCCTGGAAACAGATTTCCTCTTGGGCCAATTGTTTCTCATTAAGATATTTTGATTATCTTGCAAGCCTTCACTTCTCATTGCAAACTGGTCTGGCAAAGATGTTTGCAAGACAATGGGTACAGACAGTATGTAACTCTCCAGACTTCTGAGTTGAGATACATTAAGCCAAGTGAAAGCAGATTTTCAGGCTTAGCATTTTTACTTGAGAGCAAATTTATTTATATATAAATAAATATATAATAATTAATAATAATATTTATTAATAATTTATTGGTTCATTTGCGGTTTTGAAACATAAATCAAGACAAATGTTCACCTGAAATGAAAATAGAATTAAATAGAAATCTCAGAAAATTGCAAAAATTTAAGACTGGGGCATTAGGAGAATGGAAATGCTTCACCCAGCATGAATGCTTAGCAGATCTAGCTGCAGGAATTGGATCACAGGTATTCCTCCAGAAACAAGTGAGCGCCCTAAATACTGTACTGTAGAAGTGCTTTATCATTTACTAGGCTGCCTAATTTTATAGTTCTGCATATGAAATTAAAAGGATGTAACAGGATAACCTGGAACAGGCACTGCCTTGGGAATATGTCCTTGCATTATAATGTTCCTCATATTGAAATATTTAATTTCACAAGTACGTTTTTCCTTCTCTAAGCAAAAAGTAATTTGATTCTCATTTGCATACATTTTGGCAACCAGATAATCATGTCTAACACTGCAGTGAATGAACTGAATCAATGGAAAGAATCACTTGACTCTACTACTAATACAGTCTGAAATAAACTATAGCTTCTGTACAAATACCCTACTGAGTTTTAAGGATTCCTCCTCTCGATCAATAAAAACCAGGATGAAGTTTATGTACTCTTTACAGATTAACAGGTTATGAAATGACTGTACTTACAGGCTTCAGATCACAGTGAATGATTCTTTCCTGGTAGAGCACTTGTAAACATCTCAGCACACACTGAGTGAAGTGTCGAATTAAAGGCAAACTGAAACCTTGGAAATTGTTCTTTTTGATCAACTCATACAAATTTATGCTGCGGGGGTTGTGGAGGTGGAAGAAGAAGAAGACAGAAAGCAGAAAAAAAAAGATTTAGGAACTTATTTTTAAAGGCATGATTAGTTTACAGTACATTAAGAGAGTATTTAGCCTTCCTACAGCAGGAAGAGAGTATTTATATCTTCCTACATGATGGAGGACTCACGCAGAAGAAAATGATTTAGCTATTTTCCTCCTTGAGAATGCTGTTCTGCACGTAATATGCACAAACACCTCCCTGAGCCTCCAGATCTAAAGAGGACATGTCAGAGGACTTGTTTGCTTGCTAAACTCAATGCTATATTATGCAGCTGTGCTGTTGATCACCAAGTACAACTACCCTTCAGGAACTGAGAAACAAATTTTCTTTAATACCGTCCTCTCTCGTTTATCTTTGCTTTGGCACCTTGTGTAAACTGTTTTTGTCTAAAGAGTCTTTAACCAGCAGTAGATCTTTCTAGATAAATAAATCCAGGTCTCGTTAGGTTTTTTTATATCCCTCCTGTCACCATCATATCTTAGCTCCTTCTCCCCCATAATTCCAGGTCTCGTTAGGTTTTTTTTATATCTCTCCTGTCACCATCATATCTTAGCTCCTTCTAGATGTTGTTAACTTCTGCCAAGGGTGCTTGGCAACATGTGAATGTTGCCCTCCAGCTGCCTCCAGGTCCTGTCCTGATGGAGCCCCCATAGCTCCCCATGCCAGAGCCCCAGGGAGCCCCCAGCCTGGGGTGCTCCCTGACAAGTACAGAGTGCTCAATGTTTGGTCATTCTTTGGAGGAGGAAATGGCCACAGGGATGGTGACTATTGAAGGGATGCACAAGCTTGTCCTCAGCAGTATGATCTCCAGAGGTGTCCTCAGCAGAACCCCATGCATCTGCACTGACATAAACAACTGCAGCTTTCTGCCTTCTCCACTTGTGCATCCACGGGTCTCAGGCAAGGCCCACTCCTTCAGAAGTAAATGAAGTTAGCAGTGCTTGGTGGAGAAGAATGTTCACAAATTAAGGAGTTTTCACTATATTTTAGAAGCAATAAAAATGTCACCAGGCAATTATTTTTACATCACAACCAGTCTTCAGCTCTTCTGTAAAGATCTGAACATAGTGGCTATCCCATGAACGTTTTCCTACAAGTCTCCATAGCAGCTTCCTGAAAAAAATGGTCTGGTTTTTTTCCATGGAGAGAAGGAATCAACTCTTATCTCTGTGTGTCTGAGTGACAGACTCACATGCAGCAACACAAGGTATTTAGGTCTGTTCGAGATCAAGCCTTCAAAATGGTGCTTAATCTTCAGCAAGGTCTGTAACGTGCAGCAATGCAGGCTTTACTTTAAGGGATGGGGAACCATGGATAACCTCTGTAATCCCAGTTTGATGCCCTTATTACAAGGAGGCTGGTGAATAAATAGTCTCACTTCCCTAAAATTTCTCCAAAATTCCTCCTAGGATGTGTCCTGCAGCGTACATTCATAGAAAGCAAGAAACAGCCATACTTTTGGATTATTTAACATTGTTTATATGCCCTAAAGTTTACCAGTCATGAATTCATTGGTTTACTCTTCTTCCCTTAGGTCTTTCAGGGAAGAAAAATTCAATAAACAGCACAGAAAATAAGGGATGGATCGTGTCATTGTGTGAAGTCTGAACAGGAGCTTTTTCGGTTCACCTTTGGTTACCAAAGACTCAGTTATGCAGTCCGTATTTAAACAGTATTCCTTTCTTGTAACATAAAAAGAAGCAAATTCCTCCAAAGAAAGCATAAAAATGAAAGCTTGTAGGCACAAGATCTACAGTCTTCCTTAAGATTTGTGTAAAGGAAAGTATACTTTACCCCAGCAGTTCGAAGGAAATACAGAAGTGATTGCGAAAGTAGAAGTACTCCTTCATGTGGATGATATTGTGAGTATCATCTTTGTCCTTCTTCAGGAGAGCATCAAGGATCTTCACTTCTACCAAAGCCTGGCTGTGAAATCTGAAATATCACAGGACAGGGGAAAGGTAACATTAACTCAATCTAGCAACTGTGGCAATACAAATACAACAATCTTACTGTAAACTCAACGTTCGGGGCACCGATTAAAAATTCACCATTCACACCTGTCAAATACTGTAACTTTGATCCATTATGGTTGTTGCCTAGTCTAAATATACTGGCCTTACATAGCATTTAAGAGTAGTTATTTTTGACTTGTCTGAAAAAAATATTTAAATGAAAAACAGTCTCAAATGAGCATCCAGAGTAAAATCCTAGTGGTTTCAAAATCCATGGGAAAGCTTCCATTTTCTTGAACAGGGCCATATTTCACACCAACCACAGTGAGACAGTCAGTTTTGAAGAGCATCTTTACATCTAGTGTTCACTGAGGGGGAAAAACTGAACAGCTATTGCTGGAGTCAACAGCATCATTCTCATCTGCTTCATTGACTCTGGTTCAAGCTAAACTCAACTAAAAAAATTGTAACCAGTCATATAACAAGAAAGAGTTGCTTAGGAGCATAGTGTAGAATTTTTCATATTAAAATGAGCGACTGGAACCTTCCTGAGGTTTTGGAGTCTTAGGGGGAGATGTAGGCTCTTGGCTCTCCATCTTGCAGGGCTGGTTTAAACTGTGCCAGAGTGTAAGTTTGGAAAACCTGTGCTTGCTTTCATAGATTGTCTCCACTGGGTCCAGGCCAATTCTGAGTCCCTGTCATCACCTTTCTTCACTCTGTTTTGTGTTTAGTGAATGTCTTCACACTGTGTCTAATCTGAAAGTCTGAAGTACAGGGGGTTTGATTTTGCTTTGTTCACGTTTATCCCAGATTGTCACTGCCTATATAACAAAGAGCTGACTGTCCTGATTTAAAGTCAACAGATGTCTCACCTTTTCTTATTCCTTATTATTTTCAATGCCACTAATTCATTGGTTTTATGATCCAAGCATTTAGCCACTTGCCCAAATGACCCTTTCCCAATCACTTCCAACACTTCATATCGGTACGCAATGTGGTCATGTAAAACCTTCAAAAGAAAACAAATAGTTCAGTTTCAGATAGTACAACAAAGATCAGGCTTTAAAATATCTCATGTGTGTGAGTTTACTTTCTTTGAAGCAAGTGAAGTCTACATTAAACAAGGGTGACAGAGAAAATAACAAGTGCATGCTTCATTAATCCACCTACCTTGCATCAATCCAGAATGAAACACAAAGTGATCTCTCTTTAGGATTCTCTTCTGAGCTTTAAAGTGATTGGTAATGATGTTTTCACTATGTGAATATTTATCTTATAGAAATAACATTTATCTCACATGGATCACTTAAGAGTTGGCAGACAGTTGACTGTCACAACAAACTTACTGAGCTGAAAAGCCGAAAATGAATACCATAATTTTTCCACTTACCTTTAAGTAGGAACCATGCTCATCATCGTAACAATTATTATTCTGGGTTTCAGGCAAACCTTCAATCTTTTTAGCTTCCAGCCCAAGAAACCACAGCTCTGTATAATTGAAAATTTCTTTTTGCTCATAGACTGTTAATTGGTCTTTAAAATACTTCAAGGCTTCTAAATCAGAAAAAAAGAAAGAATATAAAACCCAAAATAAATAACGTCAGACAGCTGATGGCAAATTGCTTTTATAAAGGAACATTTTACAGTAGAGTATGCCACTTTGAGCAGGAGGTTGAGTAGATGACTGTTAGAGGTCACCTCCAACCAACATCTCTGTGATGATACAATGTTGACATTTTGCACAAATTTGTTTCTTTTTCTGACTTACAGTATTATGTTCAACAAAACATTCATCATCCTTCAGAAAGACGTTTAAGCAAGCTTAGGTAAAAATTATTTGATTCTGAGCAAAGTTACCTAGATGTTTTTGAAAATCCCATCTGTTGTCTATCTGCTTCAACAAGCTTCATAGCTTACATAAAAAATGATTATTGGTTTGATTGTCATATTTATAAAATGGCAGCAAACTTTAGTTAACCAAAGCTTTCAAGTACTTATTTTTCTGATAGAAAATGTCAAGTTCAGATGCGTAAGGTTAGGAATTAGATGGGGCCCAAATGTGCTGTTCAGATTCCTCCTGCATAGAAACATTTCAGCTACCCTAATGCTTCCATTTACATCATTTAAATCTAGATAAATAATCAGACAGTAGCATTGCAAATCAAAGCGTTCTCTAGGCACACACGTGGGTATTTTGTTAAACAGTGGCAGCTCTTCACCCCCAAATGTAGAGATGCTAAGTAATTTAAAAGAAAAAGGCCACTACTTTTTTTTTTTTTTCCTAGACAAAAAATAGATTAACTCTGCCAGAAACTTTCTAGATGTGAGAACTCCAAAAATACAATTTAGCCCACATAGATAAAATGTGATGCAGCTACAAGCAAGTGTGAAGTGTTTTATCACTGTACTAGAATATTGCTTTCACCTACATGACCTGTCATAAGTCTTAGACAAATATACATTCTTTTGTATAATACCTGCTTCTCTCATTTATATATTTGTGTCAGTCTATTCATTCTCCTATTGCATATATCCCCAAGTAGTATTTTTATAAATTACCAAACCCATCCGTATTCCTTTCCTCCAAACTCTTTATTAAATGTTGTGGAGACCATTTAGCATGGGACCTCTGGTCACCACATATCCTGGCTGCATATGCTCCCTGTCTGTGGGGAGTCTTTTTAGCACTCTCTGTCATGTTCTACCTGAAGCTGTCATAGGCAGTTTGACACGGATGCTGGTGCTTTCCAGTTCTGATGTTTTTTTCTGGGCTCTGGTACCACTTTCAGGAAGGTCGTCTGGAAAGTTAAATTGGGAAAAATTGCCTTGACTTCTGTTTTCCTGCCAAGCAAAAAAAAAACAAAACAAAACAAAGGTAAACTTTGCTTTCAGATATTTTAATGAACATTCAGCTAACCTGTAATTGTATAAATATATACAAAAAAATATTGAAAAATGCTACATTCCCAAAGACAAAGCTGCAAAATATTTATTTTGGATTTGTTGAGTGTCAACTTCATGCTGAGACAGAACAAAGATGCTTTGGGATTAGAATACCCTGCTTACCCAGAAAGCAAATTCTGACAATAGCACTAGAGGCTATTAGACTATGGAAACATAAATCTCTAAATATAAGAAGGAAGTTCATTTTCCAGGTTCATTCAATGCAAGGGCACTCACTTTGTACAAATGCTACAAAATGCCATGGTTTGATTAAGTTGCAGCAACTCACACGAGCAAGGGAAGTGTCTGAGTCCAGTCTTCTGAGTACTGAGGGCAGGAAAGAGAGAAATATAGGCAATATTCATCTCAGATGTCTACGTGGGCATATCCACTGAAGAGTTGTGCTAAAATCCTTGAGATTGCTTGTGCAGCCCACAGAACTGGAGGGACACCAGTTTGGGTCTGTGCATATAGATATTTGCAACAGAAGCATCAAGATCGGTATGAATGGGGAAAGCACAGGCCTGTGTGGGTGCAGAAACACTTGAAGGAACAAATTGCAGAAGAAAGAATATACAGATGTCACCTATATCAGCAGCACATGTATATTCTCAGGCCTTCCAGAACTGGAAAACAAAGAACAGGCCACAGAATCAAGCCATAAAGAGATGATGGAGGTTTAGAGACAAAAAGGAGACAAAGAAGGAGACAGAAGAGTGTGATCTTATCCAAGGATGTAGGGTGTGGGGGCCCAGGCCATGTTCTCCTCAGTCCCTTCATTGAGGGGAAAAGGCTCATCTGGAGACAATGGATCCAGTGGATAAACACCTGGCTGAAGCTGTGGAGAGGGCTGTGGCTTCTATCACCCTAGGATAAGGAACAAGAACTGCTGAGCAGGAACAGGACCCATCTGATGAAGCAGGGCAAGAGCGTCTGCAAACAGCTTTGCCAACCTAGTGAGAATGCCTTTTAATTAGGTACCTTAGGGAACAGTCATCACAGCCTAAAGGCCCTGATACATATGGGGTAATTCAGTCACCTCAATATCTGCTGAAGGGGCAAAAGCATTCTGGGAGATGTCTGGACTGTGTTCTTAATGCAGGTGATCTGAGATGCGCTGCTGAACCTGTTACTCACATGCAAGGAACAACTGGTTGAGGATGTGAAGGTCAGGGGAAATGCAGCTTTGGTTGCAGTGATTGTGGAATTTAAAATCCTCAGAGAACTGAGTGAGACAAGCAGTAGAACTACAAATGCTGTTCTTCAGGAAAGCAACTTTTGGATTGTTCAGGGACCTTCTCATCCTAAACCCATGTTAGACTAGCCTGGAGGGCAAAGGAAAGCAGGATACCTCATTGATCTTCAAAGTTAATCTCCTTATAGCAGAAGTATAGCCCATTCCAACATGCAGAAAGTTAAGCAAACATTGCTGAAGGCCAGCGTGGATGAAAAGGGAACAGGCACAAATGCAGGAAGGAGTGCAAAAAAAGTTGGAAGCTGGGATGGGTGATATGGGATACACACAAGGGACAGTACCTGAACATGCAGGCGTGTTTAGGAAAGCCAAAGCTCAGCTAGAATTGCAGCTAGCAAGGGATATGAAAATTAATAACAACAGTTTCTGTAAGTACATCACCAGCAAAAAAAAAGGAAGGCTAAGAGAAATGTGAACCCACTTCCCAGTGGAATTTGGCACCTATTGACCAAGGATTTGGAAAAGACCAAGGTACTTAATGCTTTTAACTGGTAACTTTTGCCCTCAGGCCTCCCACGTCCCTGAGTCTAGAAGCAGCATTTGTGTAAAGAAGCATTACCTGCAGTAGAGGAAGACAGATAGGGACCACTGAAGTAGCTGGACATACCAAAGTCTGCAGGATGCACCTGAGGGTGTGGAAGGAACTGGACAATGTCATTGCAAGGTAGTTGATTGTCATCTTTGAAAGTCGATGGCAATCAGGAACAGCTCCTGACCATTTGGAAAAGGCAAACATCACACTTATCTTCAAAAAGGGCAAGAAAAAGGCTTCAGGGAACTACAGTTGGCCAGCCTTAACTCAGTCCCTGGGAGGGCTACGGAACAATTCCTCTTGGAAGCCACTTCCAACGAAATGAAAGACAAGAAAATTATTTGGAACATTCAGTATGGATTTGTCAACATAAGATGTGATTAAATGGCATCTAAACAACTTGATTGCCTTCTCTGCTGATGTCATAGGCTTGGCCAATGGGAGAAAAGCGGTGGGTGCTGTATACTTTGACTTCAGCAAGACCTGTGACACTGTCTCCTACAGGATGCTTGAAGCCCAAAGAGTGAGATACATGGAACTGGATAAATGGAACAACAACTGTGCTCCTGTAGCAAAGAATGCCAAACGCATCCCAGGCCATACTAGTGAGAGGATAGCCAGTAGAGGGGGAGAAGTGATCTCCCCCTGAGGTGACCTTGTGAGACCATGCTGGGAGTACTGTGTCTAGTCTGAGGTTTCCCAGGACAAGAAAGACAGGGACCAACTGGAGTGAATTCAGGGGATGGTCAGGAGCCTGGAGGACATGATGTACAATGAGAAGCTGCAGGAAATATATTTTTTCAGCCTGCAGAAGAGGAAGCTTCAGGAGTGACCTTACTGCTGTCTGCAGCAGCTACTTGACAGGATGATACAGAGAAAGCAAAGCCAGACTTCACAGAGGTGCGTGGTCCTAGGACAAAACGGGTATGTCACTAATGGATACTAGTTGCAACCCAGGAAATGCTGAGTAGATACTAGGAGAAACTTTTTTTATCATGAGAGTGGTTCACTGTTGCAACAGGTTTCCCTAAGAAGCTGTGGAGTCAGAGGTGCGTGGTCCTAGGACAAGATGGGTATGTCGCTAATGGATACTAGTTGCAACCCAGGAAATGCTGAGTAGATACTAGGAGAAACTTTTTTTATCATGAGAGTGGTTCACTGTTGCAACAGGTTTCCCTGGGGCTGGGCAGACTCTCCATCCTTTGAGATATTTGGGACCCAACTGGACAAGGCCCTGAGCAACCTTCTCCAAGTTTGCTCAGCTTGGAGTAGGAGGTTGGGATAGATGTCTTCTGGAGGTCCCATCCAATCTAAATCATTCCTTAATTTATTTATAATTCCTCATCCTTTGAGAAAGTCCTGAGGACTTATAGGAACGGACAGGATGGAAATACAAAATATCAGTCTCTCTCAGTGTCAGAAGAGCACAAAAGCTATATTCAAAACCAGCACATGGTGATATGGACTAACCGGTGGGCAACAGTAGTCCACCACGTTGTCGCATGGCTGGTACCACCTGGATATATGCATCTCAGTGGTTGTAAGTTTTGGGTTAAGAATACGTTAGTGCAAGTGAAAATGGTTTGTTTTAAAATAAAATCACTTCCCATGCTTGCTAATTATTTTTTTTGCAATATTAACTGCCACAAACGCAGGTAAGCCAGGTATGAGAGGCACCACTTGAACAGCTCAAGCACAGGTCTGTGCTGCTGCAGGTTGGTCCTACTGCTATCCTGCTGAGCCCCAGCTTGAGAACTCCACTCTTCCCCCATTCCAGTACTCACTCCCTCAATTCAGCAATGGTCTGATATTGCTAAGGAAGAGTAAACAAAGAAGATCTCCAAAAATGACAGCACATAATCATGCTTTCTAGATTGAAGTGTTTATTGTCCCCTTGGCACTTCTAAGCCAAGTAAAAGGCTTTCTTACACAGCTTCTTAGAGAATTCTGTAAGTTCCATTTTAAAATAAAATAAAATAAAACCCCACCTCTGTAAAGCACTTGGGTTCAATCTTTTAACAGAAAATAAAATGGGAGGATGGTTCATTTTCAGACGCAAAGCTTAATCATTGGCTTCTGTAGGAACTGACTGCAGATTTGACTTAAAAAGGCCACAGAACCAAGCTTTAAAGAAAATTTAAAGTATTTTAGAGACTAACCCATTCCACCTCATCATTAATGCTATTTTGCATTTTGTAGCTTTGTCCCCCTAGCTAAATTAAATAATTTGTAGTAGTAGCAAGCTGCCAGATTCGAAGTATAAAATGCATTATATGGGGACTTCCACTGCAATAAATAGGAAAAGACTTGATATCAGAGCCCTATAGAACCTGAGAAATCTCTCAATAAAGAGACTGTATTGAAGCAGAAGAAAGGTGAAAGGAGTGATCAGAGTAGTGATGGTAAGTAATGCAGGTCCCTGTTTTGTTGGGGAGAAAAGGAGGATAAGAAGAGTGTTCAGACAGGGGATGGATGTAGGACTTCTGAAAAAATGAGAAAGAAGGAATGCCAAATGTGAAGATGACTTCAGAAACTTCCTGTGATGTCAGCTGTCCATTAAAATATCTGGAGATCCACACAACCATGCTGCTAAGTGATTTATCTGTTTGACTGTTTATAGTTCTTCCTTTTTTATTTCTCTTTAACTACGGCTGAAAATGGAAACTGATGCAAGTGATGACACTAAACTCTTTCTCTCTTCCCACACACAAACACACTTGTGACACCGTGCCACTGACACTCTCTTCGCAGTACTAGAGAGAAGCTGATTAACCAGTCAAGCACAAGACGTCTCAGAGTCTTGTAACTCGCTCACCTGAAGAGAGGGGAGGACATTCTGCAAGCTCTTGTTTGTTATCTGAGGCAGGCTGCTTTCAAGGGGAGGAGGGTTTGCGGTGTCTGCAACCAAACCATGCTTTGCTTGACCTTCCAGATGTGGGAGGGAAAGAACACCACGACTGACTTTCTAAATAGAAAGCATAAGTATTACAGAATATTATTAGTATGATATTACGTTATGCGTATAGTTCACTCCTGACACCTAATGGCAGCTCCCAATTTTACTAACAGGCAGGAGTAAGTTGCCCAGGCAATCTGGCAGCCTGGCACGTTTTAGGTGATGAGTGTTTCCCCACAAGAGCATCTCCATCCAGCAGCAGAGCGCTGACTGCTTGAGCTGGAAAAGGTGGTTGGGCTTGGAAAGCAAACAGGCAGCAGGACTCCTCTGGTGGGGAAAATAAAGCACATGTAGGGTAATAAGCAGGCATGAATTTTAAATGGCAGGCAACATCACGTGCTATTCCCAGTGGTAGAAGGGAAATTGGGACTGGACTGCTGCCAGACACCAGGGTGGAGGCAGTGGGAGGGTCTTCCCTGCACTGGTTTCTCAATATTTCATCCCCCCCTCATTTCCCATAGAGTTCACTTTGACTAGGCCCCTTTGTTGCCCCCCATCGTGGGTGAAGAAAAGGCAAGCTCTGTGCAAACTTCATCCTTTGAGATATTTGGGACCCAACTGGACAAGGCCCTGAGCAACCTTCTCCAAGTTTGCTCAGCTTGGAGTAGGAGGTTGGGATAGATATCTTCTGGAGGTCCCCATCCAACCTAAATCATTCCTTAATTTATTTATAATTCCTCATCCTTTGAGAAAGTCCTGAGGACTTATAGGAATGGACAGGATGGAAACACAAAATATCAGTCTCTCTCAGTGTCAGAAGAGCACAAAAGCTATATTAAAAAACCAGCACATGGTGATATGGACTAACCAATGGGCAACACTAGTCCATCATGTCGTCGCAAGAAGTCATGGCTGGTACCACTTGGATACATCCATTTCGGTGGTTGTAAGTTTTGGGTTAAGAATGCGTTAGTGCAAGTGAAAATGGTTTGTTTTAAGGTGGGCAACAGTAGTCCACCACGTTGTCGCATGGCTGGTACCACCTGGATATATGCATCTCAGTGGTTGTAAGTTTTGGGTTAAGAATACGTTAGTGCAAGTGAAAATGGTTTGTTTTAAAATAAAATCACTTCCCATGCTTGCTAATTATTTTTTTTGCAATATTAACTGCCACAAACGCAGGTAAGCCAGGTATGAGAGGCACCACTTGAACAGCTCAAGCACAGGTCTGTGCTGCTGCAGGTTGGTCCTACTGCTATCCTGCTGAGCCCCAGCTTGAGAACTCCACTCTTCCCCCATTCCAGTACTCACTCCCTCAATTCAGCAATGGTCTGATATTGCTAAGGAAGAGTAAACAAAGAAGATCTCCAAAAATGACAGCACATAATCATGCTTTCTAGATTGAAGTGTTTATTGTCCCCTTGGCACTTCTAAGCCAAGTAAAAGGCTTTCTTACACAGCTTCTTAGAGAATTCTGTAAGTTCCATTTTAAAATAAAATAAAATAAAACCCCACCTCTGTAAAGCACTTGGGTTCAATCTTTTAACAGAAAATAAAATGGGAGGATGGTTCATTTTCAGACGCAAAGCTTAATCATTGGCTTCTGTAGGAACTGACTGCAGATTTGACTTAAAAAGGCCACAGAACCAAGCTTTAAAGAAAATTTAAAGTATTTTAGAGACTAACCCATTCCACCTCATCATTAATGCTATTTTGCATTTTGTAGCTTTGTCCCCCTAGCTAAATTAAATAATTTGTAGTAGTAGCAAGCTGCCAGATTCGAAGTATAAAATGCATTATATGGGGACTTCCACTGCAATAAATAGGAAAAGACTTGATATCAGAGCCCTATAGAACCTGAGAAATCTCTCAATAAAGAGACTGTATTGAAGCAGAAGAAAGGTGAAAGGAGTGATCAGAGTAGTGATGGTAAGTAATGCAGGTCCCTGTTTTGTTGGGGAGAAAAGGAGGATAAGAAGAGTGTTCAGACAGGGGATGGATGTAGGACTTCTGAAAAAATGAGAAAGAAGGAATGCCAAATGTGAAGATGACTTCAGAAACTTCCTGTGATGTCAGCTGTCCATTAAAATATCTGGAGATCCACACAACCATGCTGCTAAGTGATTTATCTGTTTGACTGTTTATAGTTCTTCCTTTTTTATTTCTCTTTAACTACGGCTGAAAATGGAAACTGATGCAAGTGATGACACTAAACTCTTTCTCTCTTCCCACACACAAACACACTTGTGACACCGTGCCACTGACACTCTCTTCGCAGTACTAGAGAGAAGCTGATTAACCAGTCAAGCACAAGACGTCTCAGAGTCTTGTAACTCGCTCACCTGAAGAGAGGGGAGGACATTCTGCAAGCTCTTGTTTGTTATCTGAGGCAGGCTGCTTTCAAGGGGAGGAGGGTTTGCGGTGTCTGCAACCAAACCATGCTTTGCTTGACCTTCCAGATGTGGGAGGGAAAGAACACCACGACTGACTTTCTAAATAGAAAGCATAAGTATTACAGAATATTATTAGTATGATATTACGTTATGCGTATAGTTCACTCCTGACACCTAATGGCAGCTCCCAATTTTACTAACAGGCAGGAGTAAGTTGCCCAGGCAATCTGGCAGCCTGGCACGTTTTAGGTGATGAGTGTTTCCCCACAAGAGCATCTCCATCCAGCAGCAGAGCGCTGACTGCTTGAGCTGGAAAAGGTGGTTGGGCTTGGAAAGCAAACAGGCAGCAGGACTCCTCTGGTGGGGAAAATAAAGCACATGTAGGGTAATAAGCAGGCATGAATTTTAAATGGCAGGCAACATCACGTGCTATTCCCAGTGGTAGAAGGGAAATTGGGACTGGACTGCTGCCAGACACCAGGGTGGAGGCAGTGGGAGGGTCTTCCCTGCACTGGTTTCTCAATATTTCATCCCCCCCTCATTTCCCATAGAGTTCACTTTGACTAGGCCCCTTTGTTGCCCCCCATCGTGGGTGAAGAAAAGGCAAGCTCTGTGCAAACTTCATCAAAAAATAAAGGCTTATACTCATTTGAAAGCTCCAGGATTACTAGTCCTTCCTTTAGACTTCTCCCATTTGTTACTTGCGAAACATTTCTATACCACTCATTCTTGAACGTGAGTCACTCAAGCACGTGGTTTTATGAATGTTAGGACCTCTGATATTTTTGGATGTCTAAAGCGAGAGAAATCATGCTCTTAGCAGCAAAGAAAATTTTCGAGGTAGGCTATTTCTTTGGCAAATAATAAAAAATTTCAGAACTAGATCTGAAATAGACTATGCACTCTCAAATGCCAAACGAGGCCCAGAGACTAAAGGCTACTCCCCATATAAGCCTGTCTTTCACTGGGGAAAGATAGAAACGTTTTTGTCAAGCATTTGACAACAAAGGAGAGGTTTGGTATTTTTTTCAAAAAGCAAAGAAACAGAGGTCTCAATCCAACCAACCTAAATGAGTAAGTTTTCCAATACGACGGAAAAGTCTTTCAAACCTTAGAACTGAGATTCCAGCGGGCTTTTCTTGAAAGCGTTGGTCCTACTGCTATCCTGCTGAGCCCCAGCTTGAGAACTCCACTCTTCCCCCATTCCAGTACTCACTCCCTCAATTCAGCAATGGTCTGATATTGCTAAGGAAGAGTAAACAAAGAAGATCTCCAAAAATGACAGCACATAATCATGCTTTCTAGATTGAAGTGTTTATTGTCCCCTTGGCACTTCTAAGCCAAGTAAAAGGCTTTCTTACACAGCTTCTTAGAGAATTCTGTAAGTTCCATTTTAAAATAAAATAAAATAAAACCCCACCTCTGTAAAGCACTTGGGTTCAATCTTTTAACAGAAAATAAAATGGGAGGATGGTTCATTTTCAGACGCAAAGCTTAATCATTGGCTTCTGTAGGAACTGACTGCAGATTTGACTTAAAAAGGCCACAGAACCAAGCTTTAAAGAAAATTTAAAGTATTTTAGAGACTAACCCATTCCACCTCATCATTAATGCTATTTTGCATTTTGTAGCTTTGTCCCCCTAGCTAAATTAAATAATTTGTAGTAGTAGCAAGCTGCCAGATTCGAAGTATAAAATGCATTATATGGGGACTTCCACTGCAATAAATAGGAAAAGACTTGATATCAGAGCCCTATAGAACCTGAGAAATCTCTCAATAAAGAGACTGTATTGAAGCAGAAGAAAGGTGAAAGGAGTGATCAGAGTAGTGATGGTAAGTAATGCAGGTCCCTGTTTTGTTGGGGAGAAAAGGAGGATAAGAAGAGTGTTCAGACAGGGGATGGATGTAGGACTTCTGAAAAAATGAGAAAGAAGGAATGCCAAATGTGAAGATGACTTCAGAAACTTCCTGTGATGTCAGCTGTCCATTAAAATATCTGGAGATCCACACAACCATGCTGCTAAGTGATTTATCTGTTTGACTGTTTATAGTTCTTCCTTTTTTATTTCTCTTTAACTACGGCTGAAAATGGAAACTGATGCAAGTGATGACACTAAACTCTTTCTCTCTTCCCACACACAAACACACTTGTGACACCGTGCCACTGACACTCTCTTCGCAGTACTAGAGAGAAGCTGATTAACCAGTCAAGCACAAGACGTCTCAGAGTCTTGTAACTCGCTCACCTGAAGAGAGGGGAGGACATTCTGCAAGCTCTTGTTTGTTATCTGAGGCAGGCTGCTTTCAAGGGGAGGAGGGTTTGCGGTGTCTGCAACCAAACCATGCTTTGCTTGACCTTCCAGATGTGGGAGGGAAAGAACACCACGACTGACTTTCTAAATAGAAAGCATAAGTATTACAGAATATTATTAGTATGATATTACGTTATGCGTATAGTTCACTCCTGACACCTAATGGCAGCTCCCAATTTTACTAACAGGCAGGAGTAAGTTGCCCAGGCAATCTGGCAGCCTGGCACGTTTTAGGTGATGAGTGTTTCCCCACAAGAGCATCTCCATCCAGCAGCAGAGCGCTGACTGCTTGAGCTGGAAAAGGTGGTTGGGCTTGGAAAGCAAACAGGCAGCAGGACTCCTCTGGTGGGGAAAATAAAGCACATGTAGGGTAATAAGCAGGCATGAATTTTAAATGGCAGGCAACATCACGTGCTATTCCCAGTGGTAGAAGGGAAATTGGGACTGGACTGCTGCCAGACACCAGGGTGGAGGCAGTGGGAGGGTCTTCCCTGCACTGGTTTCTCAATATTTCATCCCCCCCTCATTTCCCATAGAGTTCACTTTGACTAGGCCCCTTTGTTGCCCCCCATCGTGGGTGAAGAAAAGGCAAGCTCTGTGCAAACTTCATCAAAAAATAAAGGCTTATACTCATTTGAAAGCTCCAGGATTACTAGTCCTTCCTTTAGACTTCTCCCATTTGTTACTTGCGAAACATTTCTATACCACTCATTCTTGAACGTGAGTCACTCAAGCACGTGGTTTTATGAATGTTAGGACCTCTGATATTTTTGGATGTCTAAAGCGAGAGAAATCATGCTCTTAGCAGCAAAGAAAATTTTCGAGGTAGGCTATTTCTTTGGCAAATAATAAAAAATTTCAGAACTAGATCTGAAATAGACTATGCACTCTCAAATGCCAAACGAGGCCCAGAGACTAAAGGCTACTCCCCATATAAGCCTGTCTTTCACTGGGGAAAGATAGAAACGTTTTTGTCAAGCATTTGACAACAAAGGAGAGGTTTGGTATTTTTTTAAAAAGCAAAGAAACAGAGCTCTCAATCCAACCAACCTAAATGAGTAAGTTTTCCAATACAATGGAAAAGTCTTTCAAACCTTAGAACTGAGATTCCAGTGGGCTTTACTTGAAAGCTTCAAGAAAAAAAAAAAGGGGCTGGGCAGAAGAAATGCCTCAAATGTTACTGAACAGCCAGCCAAAGCAAAACACTCGCAGGCATTTGGGAGAGTCATACAGCTACAGGGGAAATGGAAGAGGGCAGGGAATAAAGGGCTGCCTCTGCTCAGATTCATTTATTATAAGAGGTCTCTTAGAAAACAAGGAGGCGGATATTTTTAAAGTCAGCTGAAGAGTCACCTACCTGATGGAAGACCCTGTTAGATCCTAGATGATCCCTCTCTTGAACCGTCAGCTGAGGCTGAGAGAACGCATCCACGTGGGAAGTCTGAAAACATGAAACGATGCTTTTAATAAAAATGATTTTCTGGGAAAAAAAAAAATAATAATGCTGAAATCTCTGTCCGTTTTCTGTGCTTCTTTCCTTTGTGGCAACGTCTGCGCCAACACAGCGGAGGGGAGAGGACCACAAAAGCTGGTGAGAACGTGCTACGCTCTAGCAGTTCCTCTGGCAGGGGAACAGCTGCTTTGTGGGCAGGTGCAGAGACAGCTTGCTTTGCCTATTATGCCTCTCAGCATGCTTGATAAGCCCATGTGGTCAGCGGAGGGGAAAGAGGGGGGGTTTGCCATCCCTAAATGTGTGCTCGAAAGCAGGCAGTGAGCCTGCTTGGAAGGAGAGCCTTTAAACTGCCTCACGAGGTAGACTGTGAGCCCACCCAGGGTTAAATCGCAGCAATTAAACGGATTCAACTTGTGGTGCAGCTTTTATAAGAAAAACAAATCAATGGTTGCATTTACTGAGATGCAGAGAACAATCCATTGGTTCCAATGGACAGATAATATTAGCAACAAATTAAAAAATAAAGAAACATGGGGAAAGTGCTAAGCAGCTCATCATTTTAAAGATTCTACGAGCACTTTCAGCAGTTTTTTTATGAAGGTAAACATGATAAGTAGCACTGTACATTTTCCATCCAACAATAGACTATAGCGAATTGCAGAAATCCCTACAATAATTTAGATGCTGTAAATTCTGTGGCTACAGCAGATTGGAGCTCTACTCCATAGGCTGGAATGAACCTCAACCTCACTGGGTTTAGTCAAATGTGCTGCCTTGTCCCTGGGCTGTGAGACACAATGTCATAGAGTCATAGAGTTCTCCAGGGATGGGGCCTCATTCCACTCACAGTCAAAAAAAATCATCTTTATCCAAGTGGATACATCAGTTCCACTAGAGAAGCTGGGAAGCGGTTGAACAGCAATATTTGCTCTAGAAGCAGAGGAACTTGGAGGCACAGGAGGGGAACTTTAATGTGGAGTTTCAAAATAACAATTTTGTAGCCAAAATTATCTTACAGATTTGAGCTACAGACGAAAAATACTCAAATAAAGCAGGATGGTATTCTTTTTTATCTGTTTTGCAGCCTGGGCTTCCACGGCCTGTACCCGTCACACAGTCTAAAGTGAGCAGAACACTTGATGATGATAAAGTCATTGCTCTTTAAAATAACTTCTAGCCTATTTGGTGCCAGTATCAGTGCCAGGGGATCACTTTTTAAAGGCTTTTGCTGCGGACTTCAGTTAGTCCATATGAAAATAGGTCTTCATAGTGGTGGAGTATGCTTAATGTGTTTTGTACTGGCTAGTGCCATAAAACCTCTGCCATGATGCTGAAAGGGCCTCTCTCTGAGCCTGAAAGAAGAAGGGACAACTGAGATTAGACTGCTGTATCTGTGCCAATACTCTGCACTTATACAGGAGCAGTAGTGGGTGATGGGTGCTTGTGTACAAACCAATCCACACACATACACTGACCTCATTACATCCAGGGCACATCGGCGTTGCTGCAAAGGTGCAGATCAAGCCAAAGATAGATGTACAATGGCTCTGACGCATCCTGCTCTGTAAGCATGGGATAGGTGCTCAGAGAGGGTGTGGAATCTCCATCCTTGGAGAGGAGGTTAAATTAGAGACCTCTAGAAAGCACTGCTAAAGCTGAGCAGACCAGCTAGAAACTGCCCTTTGGATAACTGTGCTGTTAGTGTCCATGGCACATATTTTCTTTCTTTTCATTTGAAAAGTCAGGGGAGGAAAAAAACACCCACAAATAAGTAAGTCTTTCTGCAAGCTTAAAGGGTAAACTTCAGATTCAGAACAAGCTAAGAACAGCTCTGGGTTTAGCTCTTATCATGCTACTTGGGTACAGTTTGAGAGGAAAGGTCATGGATATCTGTGGCGCAGAGGAGAATATTAGGAAAGAGAAAGTTACTAAGACTTGACATAGTAATTCCCATCTTTAGAATTGGAGATCAGCTGACCAGGGGTAAGGGATTATGTGCTATAAATCCAAAACATCCCCAGAGCCACCATAACAAATGCCCCCAGGAGGGAACCACTGGAATGGACATTATGTACTAGAGCATTATGTACTTTTCCCTGTACATCCAATCTCCTTGTGCTCACTACCCTCCCCTGTGAATTTACACAGACGATCTATGGAAAATCCAGTGCCAGAATATTTTTACAGACAAACACTTCACATGCAAACTACATATCCTGCATCTCAAGGGAGAATCACATTTGTTATGAAGATGAGTCTGGGATCCATAGTCATAACTCTACTAGATATATCAACCCAGGTCTTAATAAGACTATTAATTTTAGTGCACATTGTACTTCTCCCCACACCTCATCCATACTTTACTCCCAGCTAGCTTTATTTTTCAGTTTCTGGAGCTGATAAAAACATTACACTTCATTTTGAGACAGTTTCTTACCCACTTTGTGCTTTTCTAACTACAAGTCTATATAAAGCCAGGATATTAGTGAGAAACAACAATCACTGAAAACCAAACAGTGGACTTCCCATAGTTGTACAAACTGCAGACTCTTCACTCCAAAATGGCATTTTATTTCTTAGTAATACCTTTAAAAGGCTATGAACTGATGTCTATTTTACTAAATATAGAGTTCAAAATATATTGTATTCAGTAATAGAGCATGAACAATTCACAAAAGGACTTTAAAACTCAGCAAGAGCTAAGGAAGCAAGTGAGCAAGCACCAAAATATGCTGCCAGCATTCAGAATCCATCTAATTTCCATTCACTGGGGAAAGATTGACAAGGGTTTGAGATGTACATTTCTCCTTTTACACTGCAAAAGCAAAATCAGTCCATCAGCCCATGGCTGTGCCTTTTTAAAATCATGGATATTTGTGATTCTCTGTATCTCTTTTTCTCAAAACCTACTTATTAAGAGTTTATAGTTCTTCAGCACTCTTTGAGCAATTTATTGAAAACACCTTAAAATCAATAACGGGTCAAACCTCATAACGTTCCCCCTGAAAAGGTAAATAGCATAATCTTTTACCAGTAGAAAAACTGATCTGTGCCTGCAACACTAATGCCAGCAGCTGGATGGGGAGCAGGTGGATTGATCAGTTCGTCCACAACAGGGATTTATTTGATGGTCTTGATGCAGGTGACCCATCACCTGCTGCAAATTGCACCTTGATCCCAAACTATCATCTCCTGCTATTCCAGCCCTTCAAATCATTTATTACTGGCCATTACCTTGCTAATTCCAATTATTGCTCAAGAAACAGAACCATGTCCTCATTCACCATCTAGTCTGCAGTCATGAGAAAGTTTAGGTACAGCATTCTGCAAAATCAGAAATTGTGACACTTGTTCATAATCCCCCAAAGGTCTGCTTATTTTTTTCAGTACTTGGTTGACCATAGAAATCAGAAATGTATGAGAATTTTAGAAATTATAAAATACACAGCTATATAAAATATAGACTCCATTGTCTCCTCATTTAAATTGGCGCTTTCTTCTCTCTGTCCTCTATCAAAACTGAATAAAGCCTGTAGAATACATAGAAGGCATGTAGAAAGAATATATAGAAAGCATGCAATGTAAATGTTAAATCATGCAATATATTAAAAAGCCACAGCAAATGCAGTCTCACTCACTCAAAATACAGTAGGAACGTAAACATTTTCCCCACCTTGTCAACTATTTCTGTCAGCATAACGGCAAGAGTCGGTAACCGCAGGATAGAGGTTGTTTATTCTATTCGGCGAATGCATTTCAGAAAGCCCACCTTCATGTAGTCAGAGCATAGCAGGATCAGTTTCATACACAGTACCCTGATCAGAAAAAAAAGTGGATAACCCTCTGCTTGGCTTCAGATTTAAATTTTCATCCCGGAAATATGCCAGTGACTATTAGCTGCTCTAGTATTCTTTTGGTGGCCATCTGTTCCTTTTCTCAGCCTCCTTCTAGCCAAATATAATTTTCCATATTTATCATGGCAAGTTGGTAATAAGAAAGACAAATATAACAGGATTGGCTGTTCTCCTTGCCGTCTCAGTCTGTTCTTTCTCACTGAGCTCATGTGCTTGTGAAACCAAAAAACACTTGAACTTGTATTTTTTTTCAAAATTTGTCATAGCGACCTCGCTATACAGCGAGTAAAATCTATTCACCGAGACTGCCAGACTGGAAAATGAAAATAAATTAATAGCTCAAGGGTTGATTTCTCATTGGACAGTATGTGCCGTTTACTGAGGACCAAACTGTGGCACTTTGGTCTGTGGTTCTTCTTGTCATCAGTGCAGAGCTGCTCTGCCCTGTGAGAAAATGAGGCTCTCATTTTGGTGTGGATAGTGAGACAGAGCTCAGCTGCCATCCTGTCTTTCCTTTTCTTCTTTTGGGTGTTGGACGTGTGTGACGGAGCACTGATGGAGGTGTCCCTATCCCCCCACCATCTTAGGGGGATATCTAAGCCTGAAACTACAATGTGCTCTCCTCCTTCATGTAGCCAAGGAATGGCAAGTTCCCTGCTGGTCTTAAATCTGTCGACAACCCAGAACAGTTCCACTTTTCACTCAGAAACCAGAGTTTTCAAAGAAGAAATGCATGCTCACCCACAGAAGCTATTCTGGAAGGCTGTCACTTCCGCTGATGTTCATGGAATCAGCAAGACTTTTCACAGCATGGTCTAAGGACAAACGGCTATTCTTTGGCATGGTGGTCCACGCAACGCCCTTGCCTTACGTAATTGCTGAGGTAGAGCATCCTACAAGGCACACCACCACCCCAATTCCATCACTCCCACTTTTCCATTCTTCCAAACTTGGCAACTCTATCCAGTCAACCAATCCTCCCCAGTATCACACCTCACATACACGAGAAGCTTCTCGTTCTCTAGCCAAATAACCACATAGACTGTCACACCAGAAGAACCGGTTCAGCCCTGGGAATGAATGGAGCTGCCACGTGCTGGAATACAAATTAAACAGCACAAATACACATCACTGTTATCTAAGTTAAATCACTCCCACACTGTTGTGGTTTTGGCCGAATTTACCCAAACCAGACTGAGAGATGGCCCTTCCCCTCTCCTCCCTGCAAAAAAAAGAGAGGAGAGGAAGAGATAAGGAGATTTAGAAGTTTAGAATGAACTAAACTACTGAAGAAAATAATGAAATTATGAAAATAATTTGTACAATATGTACAAAACTGTACCAAGCTCCCAGAATGACATCACTGGAAGGCACTGGGGAAGCCCCAGACTGGATTCAGCGATGGATGGGAACTGGGTTCCAGCTCTGGGGTCAGGAACACACGGATCAGGATCAAAGGCAAATGAACTGAGAGAGTCCTCTTTGGACATCGGCCAACAAAGGAAGAGAGTGGACCCTTTGATCCCTCAGCTTTTATATTGAGCATGGGGCAGATGGGATGGAATACCCCAGTTGGTCAGGTTTGGGTCACCTGTCCTGTCCCCTCCTCCCCACAGATGTGATCCCTCTACATTTTTCCATTTCAACCCTCTAAGGGGGCAAATACTGAAATTGGCTGATCTTGATTGTTATAAAGCAAGGGCCTCTCTGCACACCATTCTTGGCATGGAGCACAAACATTGGTCTTATCATTGTGAGAACAAGCAGTTTTCTCCACAATATCCCATTAATTGCAGAGTGTTAGAAGAGGCCTTGCTAAAACGTAAAATTACAGAACACAAAACTGGTTCGGTTTTACTTCAAATCGGGACACACACAAATAAACACTGACAAACAAGCATGGGTGAACACATACAGCCCGTTACACTCCGACTCTTCTATCCCACAGGTATATTAAGCATTTCTGAGCAATTTTCACCAAGGTTCACAGGAAGGGATTTAACTAATGTAGTGTGTGGCACATATTCTAACCATGAAAATGTAGATTTGTGATACTGGAAGTTATCAGTGCAGTCCACTGTTGATAGCATACTCAAATTTTCTAAGTCATGCAGGAGTAAAAACAATCTTTAGGATGATTCTTTTCTCATACCTGAAGAGGAGCAACTAATTTTTGACAATACAAGTAACTGTATAAAGTTTTTTCCTACATTTCTCAGCAATACTCTCAAAGCAAGAGAAACCTGCCAGGATTACAACTAAGTCTTAGTAATTATACACTGAAGTAAAAAGTAGTGCATAAAATGTTTCAGCTATTAATTGCAAAGCAGTTTTGTTAAGTTTGAAAGAAATATTAATGGTCATTGTCACTCATTTAAAAAAAAAACAAACAACAAACCAAAACCTGTTTCTGAAAGATATCTAATTAAAGGAGTTAAGTGCAATGGTAGATAAGTTCCTGTGTGTGCAATCACTGGCTGTGATCATCACATAGACAAAAACCTTAACTACAAATTTATTAAGTTTGGTAACTTCTCTGTGAAGTAGAATAGTATTAGAGGTAAAGGACATCAAAGGACTTCTCTCCTGCAAAGGAACAGGCATTCTGGAGTGGGAAGAGGATTCATTCCATCTTGGACTAAATGTTCAAGGTAAACAAATGTCCCTGTAGAAGTGAATTGGCTTGGCTTGAGGAGGAGCTTATGCAAATAATGTAGACTAGCTATCCCACATTTTTATATCCCTAAAATTAGATTAAATTAATTTTACTCTTTATACCCTTTACTGTGCTTCTTCCGCACTGCAATGCACCTTAGAGACCCACTTCCTCTAATGCAAAATGGATTCCAAATGCTGAATTTGATTTGAAAATATTTTACTCCCCCTACAAAGTCACCCAGCTGATTTGAGTGGGGACAAAAGATAAAGGAAGGAAGCTGGCTCTTTAGTTTATTAATAATTCCTATCATGGTCAGGATCTGCTCTTTCTCCTGGCAAACAAGAAAAACAAATTAATAATGCTGTTCAGTTCTAAAAGGGCTAGATAAGAATCATGAATGCAGTTTTACATAGGAGGAAATTAAGGCATTGTCTAGCTAAGGACATAATTATCATAACCTTGGGAGATAATTCCTAACGTCTGAACAAGGGTCCACGACTGAACTCAAATACAATTTGGGTACATGGGGATTTTCCAAAGAGCTGATTGACTGTACGAAGCCATCAGGACCCTAGCAACATCATCATTTCTAGGAAACAGACTGGGCAAACAAAGGACAGAGCCTAGAAATCAGTGCTCAAACAGGTTTTTCTAAAGCATCAATCTGTTCTTAGGACTATTCCAAGAACAGAAAATATGGCTATTCCTGGACTCACAAACTGAAGAGGAATCACATGAGATGCAGGAATTGGATATGGACCAGATAAACTGATTTAAATCGAGTGGGGTGCACAGATGAAATGAAGCTCCAGATATGTTGAAAAGTCATAGGGGAAAAAAAAAAAAAAAAAAGATGATAGGCAAATGAGATCATTATCATGATGGAAAAGAATTTTTAACTTTTCTATCAAGCCCTGAAAGCCTTGCAAGATCTTCCTTGAAAGAGTTCCAGCTGTTTCTGCCAATCTGCAGGTCAAACTCAGGAAACATCTGTGTCACCCTGTGACGAATGGAAGTGGAATCTGGAATGGCTAATCCAGAAGAATCAAGGCCTCTCAGTCCTTGTATAGTCCATAACTACACTTACTAATCACTTTCCCAAATACCACTGACATCAGACATTCACCTATACATTCACATGACTTGCTAAATAGTGCCATCTGGGAAGGAAAACCAGGGGCATCCTTTCTCAACTTCATTACTTCAGAGAGGTTGTACCAGAATAAAATTAGTAGCACATCAATGAATGACCCCTCACATTGATTTTCCTGTAGAAGGTCAGTTTAAACAAAATGATCAAATGTTAGCTTTAAAATTAGAAACGCACGTTTTTTAAAAGGCAGATTTCAGATTAATACAACTCACTGGGGTTTCTATAGAGTATCTTTTTTTATCTAAAATGAAAAATAGATTGGCTGTCTACAAAATACTTATATTTTTAATAAACCAAAAAATCCTCTCACATAAACCAAAAGGTCAATCTGAAATCTTTTGCAGAACCCTACGTATTCAGGGATTCTACAAATTAATCATTTGCTCACCACTTGGGCAGAAACCTATAAGATACTCCTGTGACTTAAAAACGTTAGCAGTTCTTTGCGGCATTAGTAATGCCAATATTTTAATTAAAATTTTTCATCCTAATTCCTCTTCTCCAAACAAATTTAAATAATGATTAATCCAATTAAAATGTCGTAAGGAATTGATGGTAGATGGCACAACTGATCAGACTGTCTTCCTTCTGTTTTCAAATAGTCACTTTCCATTGCTCGCAATAGGTATGCCATCACCTAATATAAACATTTGTACCTCAAGCAATAAAAACAAATGCTAAGGATATTACCTTAGGCTGGATTCTTCTATTTCTTCTCATTTGTAAGCAAGAGTTATTGAAGAAGCTGAAATCACAGCAGCTCGCGCTGCTTCCTTCTTTCCCCATAATGACAAAGCTCCATGTTTTAAATCCATTAAATTGTTCTCCTTGTAATTTAAACCTGACGCTCCTGTTCATCTGATCCAAGGCGGCCACACAGGTGCTTCGCCATGAAGAACAGCACGGGCCGACTGATGATTTTTTATGGGTGAGCTGGCTTGAATCAGACCACACGTTGTTTTACAACACTTCCACAGCACTGACACAAACCAAATAATCCCAAACTGAGCTGCAAATAGCAGCATATTTGCTGACGTGCTATGAAACCTTTGAGGACTTAGCGCAAGCACAACACGTTCGTCAATTAGGCTCAGCATGATTGCAAAACTACCCCTTGAGGCACCACAAGGTGCATCATTTGCTTTCCTTTCTTCTCTTTTTTTTTTTTTCTCCCCTTTTTCAAAGACACAGCCGTAGCTTTAGCTCTCCTGCTATAAACATAAACTGTCTAATGAAGGTAATTCAGAGTTTTAGTGAGAATCCAGAGAGTGCCTCCAAGC